ATTTTCGTAGGGTGATTCTTCTTTACTTGTATTGAAAACGTACAGTGCTCTGGTAAGTAGTATCACAATCAGAAGTGGGATTTTAGGAATCACAATCAGAAGTGGGATGTTCCTAATTTTTTTAAGGCTTGTAAGGTAAGGAGAAATAATAAATAAAACAACGAATAATTAATTATATAGTTTTAATGAAAATATTGTGTTTTTATTAGGTGTATGTACGTAACTAATACAAATACTTTAACGCTAAATTTACGCTTCAGTGAAGAATAATTTAATATTTATGCATACATTTTACTCAATAAACTGCATCAACCTACTTAAAAAGTGAGATACCCTATAATTTTAAGATGTAAAACTTTTAATTTTTTGCTTACGGTGTTAGTGTGTTCAAATAACATTGTGGAAACAAGTTGCAGTTTTTAATTGCACGCATCCAATTTGTTATTTACGTATCTCTTATTTTGCCAATCAAACTAGATATGGACCATAGAAACTTAACCCACTGAAACAAAAACAGCTGTTTACAAGAAATTAATACGCTAAAAAATGGGTATGTAAATTTCACAAGAAATATGAAATGTTTAAATACAATTCTTGATCTTATCCTTAAAACTGGTCCCTTGCACGACTGTTTGATCCTTCGAGCATATTACTAGACTAGACGTAGCCTCAAAACGGCTGGGCACTTTGTCAAGGCGAAGAGAGAGATAACTACTATGAAGATGGCATGGCATGCTATCTCTGTCTCACCGAATGTGATTGGCTGTTCCTGTCACGTGGGATTAGTCGTGAGCCAATCACGTTCGGCGGGAGAGATATAGCAGTTTCGCTTTGTAACCGCCCAACCGTTGGAAGGCTGTCTCCAGTAGTATATGCTCGAAGGTTTTATCTAAAATGATCTAAGGCTCATACTGATTGTCATAACTTGCTCAAGTTATGGCATGAACGTAGAAAATGCCATATGTACTCACGTAATTTTAGAGCAAGCACCGCGTGTTAAAAAGTGTAGAAAGAAAGGGCGATAGTTTGGTACTCTCTCTCTTAATTTTATTTGAATATCACGAGGGAGATGCGTTAGCCAATCACGTGCCTGCGCGGAAAAGAAAGATAGTACCCAAACTATCTCTCTCTCTCTCTCTCTTTGTCACTCGTCTACACTACTGTGCTTCTTGCTTCTTCCATGTAGTATATGCTCTGCTCTAAGTATGTAACTAAAGCCAAAGCCGATATACATATATATAATCTATTACTTACACGTATCATTAAAGTCCTGTTCACGATGAACATTTTTAGCGGCCCCACATGTATACCTTTGCCAACGTGTATTAAAATGAACAGGAACATTTTCTTATTTTTCTGGTTCCATGTATACCACGGCAAATTTGTAAACGCGTAATGAAGGTTTGTAGTCTACAATTAAAAAAATATAAGTACCATAAATGATCCATTCGATCAATTTTGTTATAGTTGGAGTTCGGCACAAGTGTGGGTGAGTTATAATCTATGAAATGTGTTATATCTTGTCACTGCTAACTATCTAGAAATCTACGTTTTCGTTTTCAGAACTGAGAATGACGTTTTGTTTTAACATATTTTTGACAAAATAAATTTGTTTAAAAAAAATAATACATTTATGTGCGCGATATACATATAGTGATGTGTAACTTTTATTTGTCTGCTTTTCTCAGTGTGATATTTTGTTTAGACGAAACTATTTGCATAAAAATAACCCTGGACTGAACCTTCTCCAGTTCATTTTTTTACATGTAGCAAAAACCCAATGTTGTTATTTAATTGAATCCTCGAATCTTTCTGCTCATACCTCCTCTGAAACATTGTCTCCAATTTCTGCAGCCATTCCACCTGTAACAGCAAGGGTGATTGCCAGACAAATGAAATATGGGTAATTTGTAACAGGACTCTAGAAAAAAATACGCTTATATAGAGGTACATACAGGGCTGAAAAATCCGCATGGTCTATACATGAGAGCGAAGTAAAGTAAAGAAATCCGTGCGATAGACAAGGATGGCTACAGTGAAGACGTTTCATAATATGAATAATCACCGCCCGTTTCGAGTTAGAAGTGGGAGTGACTATTCAGATTATGAAACTTCTTCATCCTTGTCTATCGCACGGATTTCTATGACTTACTTTATCGCTCTCACGTAACGCCCGATGTACCATGGGTACTTTCCGAACCTGTATATCCACATTTGCTACAACTGACCAATTGGTTATTCATTTTAGATTACTATATCAAGAATACATTTTAGTCAGCTGAGTAAATGACATAATTTTTTAAATAGGTCATATTTTCAAAAATCAGTAATGTATAATAGCTAAACCAACTTACCCAGATGATGTTTGCTAATGCACTAACCCATAAAATATATAATAATATAACAGAAACTCCCAAAAATTTGTTACTGATTTTAATGATCACTCTTCCATTGCTAAAAAATGAGTACTTTTCATGCGGTAGCCTTAGAAAGATTATAATTTATTAATGTTTGTTATAGTCTTTCCGATCACAATTGAAGATCAAAGAGCTAGGCACTGTGTACCAGGTTCGGTCGCTACACAGCAACTCGACATTGAAATATTTGAAACACTTGTTTTCATATTTATTTACCCATACCCATATACAAGTTTGGTCAAACTATACGTGGATGTGGTAGAAATGTATGGGACCAGTTGGAGAATGCGCGCGCAGGTAAACGCCGCACAAACATAGCTGCACTGGGCGACTGGGTCATAAATCTCAGTTATTAAAAACTGTTTTAGGGACCCCTATGAAACTCATCAAATTTTATTGCTAGGCGTTTTTACACATGTTCAACTGACTTCGAAAAGACTATACAATCAATGACTTCGTCTTTAAGGTGTTTCATAAATAAACAAAAATAAAGCTGATACGAGACATAAAAATTAAACAATTTTTACCGCATATGGTACAAGTTTTGTTGCTTACAGTTTGTGTGTGCATAATGTGGACAGTAACTTAAAAGTCACGAAATTAGCACAGAAGATAATGCGTATATAGACCAGGGCGGATCTGTGGAAATACAGGGTCGGAAAGTCCCCATGGTTTATCAGCCGTTACGTGAGAGCGATAAAGAAAGTCATAGAAATCCGTGCGATAGAGAAAGATGGCTATAATGAACTCGAAAAAACGAAGCCACTGGATTCTTCCAAAATGCATAGGTTCCAAGATGTAAGTAAAAAACCCAGATAAAACAGGTATTATTTTTTTAATTTTGTAAACATTTCTGCAATTTTGAAAATGTTCCGGACCTCGCCCAGATCTAAAGATCTACACTTTTATTACGTTAGTTGTACTGAAGGTATTCCAGAAAAAATATGCTAGTTTCCCCCTCTCACATCCACCTGGTCTAATAATCTTCTGTTTGTATTTGTGGTATTGCTCTTTATTTTTTAAACGGGATATTTACTGTTTACTTACCGCATTAGCAATTCTTGATATTTTATACAAAACTTAAGCCTTTTAAAAACTTTCTTTTGGTAATTTTCGTTGAACTGTATACACTTCTCGCAAACATTAGAAGTTCGTCCCAACATATAGAAAATGCAATACTGTAGAATATAAAGCTGAAATATTGATTGCTTAGACAGATATACCACGATGTATGCCCCGTTCAGCAGATACATGTACAGAATTAAATATAAAAAATAAAAACTATAATTCAACACATGGGCTTGCGTAGGAAAAGTCTCTTTGAAATACGTCGTAAACAAAAAATGTTCCTGGTTGAATCCCTCGTTGTGAACCTCAGTAATGCAGGTCGTTAAAACTAAAAGAAAGTTTATACAAAGAAAATATTCAATTTGTTTCGACTCTCGCGCGATGCGCTGCCTAGTTTCTTCTCCGGCCATATCTAAGGAATAGAAGTTATTTTCTACCAGGTCCATAAATTTTCGTAGCTCCTTTTCGAATGATAAGGACATAGAAATGTTAAAAATTCCCTGAAAAAGTTAAATTATATAGGGTATTACAAAACAGTAGGTCAAGCCCTTAACCAGAGATTCTTTGGCCGAAAATAACAACAATAATAAATACTTACAGTAAAAGAGATCAAAAGGCAAGGACTATACTGACTTATCAAACTGTTCTCCCATATTTTACTCAGTAAATAGATCTGCCAAATGAAACTGCTGGTGTGAAATACTAGTAAAAAGTAACTTAATATTTTCACATATCTGTTTGTAGACAATTTTATAAACGCAAGTAACAATTTTAGAGAATCTAAAACAAAATATTTAGCCATCCGTCATAGTAAAATGATTAGGATATTCGCACTGTTGTGTTTGACGAATAACATTTTCCGATGGTCGAAGAATTTGTCCATTTTTGTGGAAATAACAGTTATCAGAAGCAACTATTGCATTGTAAAGAAGTTGCAATGCATTTATACTACATTTTAATCACTTTCTTTAAAAATACATGCATATAATAAGGAAATGTTCTTTGTGCATTTTAAATTTTCTCAAGAGAACATTAAAAAGCATAACAAAAATTGTCCTAAGAGGTCTTTACTAATCGTCTACGGAAAATGTTTTTTTGTATGAAGCTTGGCATTATTTAAAAAGATAATTAGACTTGAGTTAGCTGCAGTTAAATTTCCATTAAAATGCCATTATAGTAGACATTTATTGTGCCCATACAGTTTATTTCAATGTATTCCGTTTTATCTTATATTTAAATTCCAATTCAAATTATCACATAAATGAAAACTAAAATTGTCGAAGTTTTTAATAGATACTATTTTAACTAATGGTGGCTGAACATCCACGTCATTATACAATAACATGTACATGTCTACCTCTGATCTCAAGCTTCGCATCGATCAATTTATTCGATAAGCGCGAGTGTGAAGATTTTCTTGAAATACCCAATTAAATATAAACGACTTGATTCTGCATTTTCTCTTCTTTTTTTGTATTAAAGGAAATAGGAAAAATAGTCAGTGATCATAATAAGACAAATTAATTTGTATTTATTTATGTATAAAATGTAGCGCGATTAACTTGTAACTACAATTAACTTAAGATAATTATGTACACATTAAAACTGATTACACTCAGAGAACAACAAGAATAGAGTTTCGACGCAAAATATCAATTCTCTATTATTCACATCTAGTCACATGATTGCTTGTCAATTTAACAAAAAAAACAAAGTTTATCGGGATATTCTATCTGAGTAGCTCATACACAAGTCTGAAAATAAGAAGTCCTAAGGGCGCCAGAAGAGTGTAGGTAGGTTTTATAGATGCGGAGGGATTACAACCGTCCCCTGCACAAGTAAAGATGCAAGTTCTGTACGTCAGTATGTCGCCAGGCTGTTGCACGTAGTTGCAGTAATTTCCGAGGTCCAAAGAGGAGCAGAACCTTTTGGCGCCAATCCCTCCTACAATTAGGAAATCGATTAACTATTTTAAAATTGATAATGCTCAACTGCTTTGATAATGTACAATATGGTTCATATTAAATGACCTGTGCGTGCACAGATGTATGTATGTAAGGGTTATTATACAGGTTCTCTTGTGGTGACGGCCCATTTGAATATTTCAGAGATTACTTCGATTTCAGTTTTGAAATTTTTGCTTATTTTAAATGGAACACCCTGTATATTATTGCATTATCGACAAGATAATTTAAAAATAAGTCAAAAATGTTAAAGCTTCCCTCTACTTAAATCTAACCGTTTTCGAGATGATCGACACTTTTTAAAATTTTGACACATGCAAGCTTTTCGAAAATTCCTCACTTTTCTTCGTTCTGGAAGCTTTCACTTCTTTTTGGAACACTCAAAGAACATAAGAAGCACTACCTCCACTATCAAAACCATCTGAAGAAAATTATACCAAGTGAACAATTTTTTACGTTACGTTTTGAAAACTTAAAACCGATACAACTTTTTAATATCACGAAATGTGCCGAAAAGCGGGGGAAAGCTTCCAGGACGAAGAAAGATATAAGGAATTTATCTTGTACTGTTCAAACAATCAATACTGTACAGCTTTGTCATTTAAAATGTTCAATATTGTACGAATCGTAAACGTTTCATTTTTATTTTTGAAAGAAAACTATTAAAAATAATGACCAGACAAGATCTAATAATAAAAAAGGCATGCCTACAATTTCCATAAAGTCAAACATTTACGATATATCTTATTTTTGTGTGCTGCATTATACAGGATGAGTAATTTTTTTTAAACAAACTTTAACAGTTGGAAGGCCCCATTCTAGAATAAAACAAATATCTTCGATTGAGATCTTATCAACTCTTATAGTTTGACTACAATTATTCTTTTCAATCTGTCTATCTCTAAAAGTAAATTAATGATTACATGCATTGAGTGACATTAAATAATAAAGGATTGATGCACCTAGTGTCCAAAATATATACCATATAGTTAAACTGTCTACTTATTGTTAGAAATTTATTGGATATTCTAATTATGTATTACTAATTTTTTTCTCAAACTTTCGAGTGCCGTACAAAATAATTTCAGTCACTTGGTGCAACAGTATATTCGCATATTCTAAAAGCCATGCAGTTATTGTTAAATATTTATTCATGTTATCAAGTGCCGTTTTGTGTGCTACTGTTTTTGAATGACGAAGCATAGATTGCAGATAATGGCAGACTATATACTCACTGAACTGTGACAGCTGATAATAATTGTATCTACTCGTTGGTGCGAATAACATCAAATCTCGCATTGCCAATCCGCGTATTGGAAATGTCATAAGCAAACGATTTTATTATATTTTTGTTTATGTGTGTTTTCCTGCATTTCATTTACATCTTAGGTGATTTAGAAAAGAGTACCAGAAATTCAAGGGCTGCAAGAGCATAAAAACAATATGGTTATTTTTTCTTAAAGATAGTGGACGTTAAATCTGAGTTTTTTTAAATTCAAATTCAGGTCATATCTTATCATAAAAGAAATAATAACAGTAGCAAAACATTTATAAATGAGAATAATTCTCGAAACATTAATTATGAAGTCCATGTTTTTAGTTTGTACCTCTTTATTCTGGCCCGTGTGATTCAACTATAGAACGTGCATCTACAATAAACTACAAACTAAACTCGAAATATCTACTGTGACGTGAAAAAAAAAAAACGATCTGCTGAATCCGCCATACCATCCAAACCAGTAGACTTTATACAGTACTGAGCCTCAAAAACGTGGTCGCATTTTTGAGGTTCTATGCCACCCATGTGTATCATCCCATCGGAACAGTCGATGGAGTTAGAAGCGGAGCACTGGTAGCACAGAAGGGCTGTCGCTACAAGAACCAACCCAACGCAGCAAAAAATTAGTAGTATTAGTAACAAAATTAGTATCACTGCTGACAACTAAAGACTAAGTTAGTATCGTCATAGTTATTGTAATATGCAGTTTCAATTTTATATTTATGTTGAAACTAAAAGAAAAATAGAAACGTGAGAAAATTGACCATTCAACATAAATATAAAATAATCGAAGGGTTATTATTGTTATTAGAACACATCAGGCGGCCCCTTGGTGTTTTTGCTGTACCTTCGAATCTGCCAACATGTTTTACGCAATATTTGGCACCGTAGACATTATCACAAGGTTCTGGTTGTATATCTATATCGCTCGTGAGCCATTCATTGCACTGGAAAGGCTTCTCGGGATCGCTCCCAGAACATTGGTAACAGTTCAGGGCAACAGCTAGAGGAAAAATTGAGTTGTTGGTACTGTTCCATAAAATTGCTTATGGTAAACAAGTCTACACGAAAAGACATGTTCATTATTGTATGAGTAACATAGTGTCGAATATCCGTACACTATGAAAAGTTTTTTTTAAACCAAAATAGAAAATGAGAAACTTGTAATTCAAACAATATGCATGGATTCAAACAATGTAGATGAATGGTCGAACGTTTTTATGAAATAAAAAATAGTTTCAACTTTCAAATGCCATAAAATATACAGAATGTCATCAAAAAAACTCTATTGAGGTAACAAATTTAAACTTTTACAAAGGTGGCGTGGAAACTTTAAAAAAAACACATCAGAATGGCAACATTATTTTAATTTAACATTAACATTACACTAAAATACGCATTATACCTTTATCGCTTGTACAGGGGCAGATGGTAGGCGACTGACTTAAGTTACCTCTCAATATATATTCATTAGCGGTTTTGACTTGCATTTAAATGCAAATAAGATCGATTAAGAGCGATCGCACCGAAATTGCGAAATGAAGGGCTATTGAATACACTTGAAAGACATTGAAGGGCATTTTGCCACGAAAGGAACAAGGGACAAGGGAGTAGGACTTCTATTTATAGATCCCAGTATTCGAAAACTGAGCAAATATAACAGAATGGTAGTACCACGAAGACGTTTATAAACGAATAAGAAATAAGAATTATAAAACATCTACATTTTAGCATTTAGCGTTTAATTTAATCGTTAATTAATTATTTCATATGAGGCAAATACCGATCGAGACTAATAATTGAGATTATTTATATACTGACTCTTAAAGAGTTTTCTGCAACTTTTTCTTTAAATCTATTTTATAACACAATGGATTTATCTATTATTAAATTTTAGGTATGAATTAAATACTATTTTTTTGTTGCGACAAAACCAGTGGCGTACATGGAACAACTTTGCGTATGCCACTGGATAAAACAACTAACAATATGTATAATAACAGTGTGTAGTTTATATTTTGTATATCTTTTTGAAATTGTAAGCTTTAAATTGTATGCGCGCCATATTGTTTGAATTACCGACAACGAACAACAACAAACGCAGGTGACATACATCCTTGGAAAGGTGTAGGTATTCTCTCTCAATACAAACAAATTAAATAACGACAAAATACTCACAACTTCCCACAAGTAGAGCACAAAAAACGAAACATACCACCACCATTTGGCACATCAACATTTTAAATTCGTTCTTATTGTTTTTCTTTGGTTTCGTTAATGAATAAGTTCGATTTTGTGACTCATAAAACGCTGGCTATTTAATAAGCTATGACCGCACCTTCTACACTGGCGATGACTGACTCGTGGAGTTCAACATGCACGTCGTGAACTGGGTAGAAGTTGAATACCCATCTCCCATCACCGCTAAACGCTACGGTGGTTACACACTTTCTGTTCTTTGGTCAAGCGTTCTAAGATATTTACTATTAAAATGTTAATATATTTAAAATAAATATAAAACGAACAAAAATATGGTTATCTAAAACAATTTAAACACCCTAAGAAAATGTTCATCATTGCAAAATCGTTCAGTCAAATATAAATGAACTCGTTTGAACTATTTATTCTTGTTATTTCGTTGGTTTTCGTATATGTACAATACAGAATAATTGTTATAAACAATCATGTAGGTATCTACGTACCAGAACAGATATAAAATTGTTCAGTTCATTTGCTAACAAAAATAATAAATAGAAACGAAACAATACAGCTCCAAATTAGTTAGTAGTTATAAATTATTTTTTAAATTATGTAAATTAAAATTTCATCTGTGGCGCCATCTATTTCACATGATTGTCACTAATCTGACACATGACTCGTGCAGGAGCAGTGTACTGTCTTACCGAGTAAGTGATGTCCGTTAAAATTCAAGTTTCTTGATTGATGAAAAAGAGGTTGACTTTTATAACAGTTTTTAAATGCCTTGAGTGACATTGACTAGAGGCAGTGTTTTTGAAAAAGACATTATAAGAATAAATTTCGTATTTGTTTTTAACATTACGAGTAACTCGCATTTGTGATACTATGTTTTTTCAAGTAAGTAATCAATATAAGTGTTTGTATCCACCGATATTATTTTAACGTTTTAAAAATGATTTTTTAGTTCTCACCGATTAGGACGAAAGTGAAACATGCATCTGTGCCAAAAGAAAACGAATCAGAAAAAATTGAAGTATTATCTCTAGCACCTTTTACGCCGAATCCTAAATTATTTTTCGAAGATGTGCAAGTTGGAACGGCAGTTAACCGGAAATTGCTTATTGAAAACCCAACAGATCACGATGTGAACGTAAGTAAAATTTTTCTTTTAAACTACCTTAAGTGTTTTAAGCAAATTTATATATTATATACATTTATTTAAATTTCAGATATTTATCACCAATCACATACCACAAGAACTCAATGTAACAATAAATCCTGAACAAATTACGGTTGGAGAGAAATCAAGTGCCATTCTTGAGCTCACCTGGTGTCCTTTACAAGAAGAATATTCTCGACACACGATCAGTGTAGGAGATGGCAAAAGAATACATCGAGATGTACCTGTCGCATTTAAGTCTGTTCTACCAAAGGTATTTGTGAATTATGTAGAAAAATTGTGTTACATGCTTTATAATTGGCTCTTAAAGTATAAAGAATATGTTGATTAAACAACAAACGTGTAAGTACACAGTATTTGTTTCAAATTTCAGAAGAAGAAAACTGCGGCAAAACAAAAAAGGAAACCTCAACCAATCTCATCCAGGCAGAAATCGCCGCTGAAATCTAAAACACCACCAAACAAAACGTCGCCTACGAAAAAATATTATTCCGTCAAACCCCCTCGTATATCCCCAAACAGATACTCTCCACAGAAAAAATATTCGCCACCAAAAACGACATCGCCAACAAAGAAATATTTAATCAACATTCAAAAGGCTTCACCAGATGCTAAATGGCAGAATGTCAGTGCTTCTGCAGATTGGACTACAGGCGGACGCAACACATACAAAGTTAATGGCAAAGAGAATGTCCCATCTCCCTTATTGAATGCATCTTATGATAATAATGTTTTCGTGTCGCCCTCAATTACTACGTTTCATTTGGACTATTTACAACCCATAGAACGGAGAGAAACTTATGTGATAAACGGCAAAAAGGACGTATCGTTCTCCGAATCTCATTTTAGTGATAGTTTGGAAAATATCTCCCCTGAACTGTCCTCTCGTGTGGAAGATAAGGTTAATGGAAGCAGTAAAAGACAGCCCTTAGGTATTTCAAATCAAGACAATATATCCCCGAAGATCACCGAGTACGTTCAGCAGAAGTTGGCAAAAACTCCAACTAACTACAACTTCGAATACAAACTCATGCAACTCGAATCGTTTTGTTTTACGCCCGTCTCGACACCTTTGGACCAAAAGCAAGATTTCAGCCCACATTTGTCGTCTACTGTAAACAAGACCGAGAGAAGCGCGACTGAAACCGTTAACGTTACACAGCTATTTCCTGCTCAAAATAATACGTTTGACGTTTCTTCTAAGAGCCCCAATATAAGCACCGAAACGTACGTAAAATCAAACTTAAGTGCAGAAACGTACGTCAAGGGTAACACAAGTTTTGAAACGTACGTGAAGAATAACTCGAGCGGGGGCACTTTTACGAAAGATACTTCGGTTGGTGACGTTGCCAACTTGACGTTTTCGCCGATATCCTCAAAACCTAATACCTCTCCGAATATATCGAAGGCAAATGTCGATAACAGCCAGTCGTATCTGAATCTGAATGGTGATAACGCAAAACACGTCATCGAAGCAAACCTATGGAGCGGAATACGAAGCCAACCCCTTTCTTCCATCAAGGAGGAGTCGTATATCCATCAAAGCATGCTGGAAACTAATCACACCCCCAATAAATCGTTCTTGAAGAGAAAATCCGATCTTAACTTCACTTTCACGCCGCCTAAGAGGCCAAACGTGAAGCGTTCACCTCAAGAGTGGTCGAAATCAGGAGGCAGCGCAATACGGATCGTTAAAAAAACAACCGGGTTGAACTTGAAAAAGTTCCTGAATAACGGCAGAGCTAGTATCGCAGAAGAAAGTGATAACGCAGTCGCGGCGTTGGCAAAGCAAGATACCCATCAAATTATCGTTCAGAATCCGTTTCTTTTAGCGGCTACGAATCTAGCCGATCCGTTTATGACCCCTCATCTTTACGTCAACGAGGAGTGGTTGGACCAGCAGCAGATCGATTTTAAGAAATGGCTGAACGCCTTATTGACGCCACCAGTGGAGCTTAATTCGGAAGAACATCTCGTGGACGTCGCGAAAGTATGGCAAGAATGTAAGAAACGCGAGGTGGACGTCGCTCCCACAAAAGAAATAGTTTCCAGCAAATATCTCGTCAATAACAAGTTGAACGCTTTGAGAAAATCCGCCCAAAATCTTTTCAAAAGCCAGGAAATGAGTTCCGTTCTATCGAAGGTCGTATTGGCTGTGGAAACGGGCAAACTAATGATACGGGAAGATAAAGACGTCCACTTGAATTTGGCTCTGAAGTCCGAAGTTATGGCTATGCTTTTAAGCTATAATCCGCTCTGGTTGCGAATCGGACTGGAAACTATATACAACGAAATAATACCCTTAAAATCCAATTCCGACGTTGTCGGACTCAGCACGTTTATAGCGAATAGAGTACTGAAAGACCCTTACTTGCTGAAGAAGCATAAGTTGGTTCACAGTTCCAAATACGTCACTGAATTTAAAAAATTCTTTCTGAAAAAATTCCTCGTGCTGGTGTACTTCCTCGATCAGGCCAAAAACAAGAAGCTAATCGCACACGATCCGTGCTTGTTTTGTAAGAACTCCTCCATTAAAGAAAGCAAGGAAATGCTCATAAAATTATCGAGAGAAATGCTAGCGGCCGTCGGAGATATCACAAAATATTTAAAATACACAGGCTACGTCGTCACCCACGTTCAAACCTACATAAACGAGTTCGACTACGCGGTAAATAACCTTGGCGTCGATTTGAGGGACGGCGTGAGGTTAACGAAAGTCATGGAAATTATCCTAATGCAAGAAAATCTAACTGCGAACCTTAGGGTACCGGCAATCTCGCGGTTACAGAAAATCCATAACATGAAAATCGTCTTTAGTTCCCTGGAAAAAGCCGGTTATGAAATCTTGTACGATATATCGCCCAAGGATATCGTCGACGGGCACAAAGAGAAAACCCTGTCGTTTTTGTGGCAGATAGTGTACAAGTTCCAAGCACCACTTATGGTAAAAAGCGCTACGACTATACAGACTTGGTTCAGAAGCCTCCCGGTGGTCCTAAAACGGAGACATTTGGAAAGAGTACGGCTGCGTCGTGAAGCAGCAGCAACTAAAATACAAGTGTGGTACAGACGTCAAAAAATCTCAAGGATGTTAGAACGATATATATCGTTATTAGAGAAATACTTATCGTTGGTGAAACGGCAAAAAGCGGCTGTAAAAATTCAGTCATGTTACAGAAGGTACCGTTGCTTGAGACTCTACAAGAAACAACGCAACACAGTAGTAAATATTCAAAGATTCGCTAAAGGCTGGCTGATACGGAACGTTCGTAGAAATCAAATTAAAAAAGCGGTTATGATACAAAGTCATATTCGTATGTACATAGCAAGAAAGAGATTTTTAGAGTTGAAAAAGGCAGTCGACTTTGTACAAGAAAAGTATCGAGCAAAGAAAAAGATGGAGGTAACGCGAACTTCCTACATCCAACAAAAATCTGCAGCGATAACTATTCAAAGATGGATTCGAAGTATTAAATTATTAAAACACGATAAAGAAACGTATGAAAAACTAAAAACGACCGTGTCCTGTATTCAGCAAAGATTTCGAGCTAATAGACTTTGCAAAACCGAAAGAAAAAAGTATCTAGAAATAAGATTGGCTACGTTACACATCCAAACGTGGTACAGGTCCATCATCTCAATGAGAGTTTGCCGAAAACAATTCTTAGCAACGAAGAAGTCTGTTTTAGTCATAGAACAGCGATATTTGGCGCTTAAAGCCATGCGAATCGAAAAACGCAGATACAAGGACATTAAAAAAGCTTGTGTATGTATTCAACAACAATATAAAGCTCGTAGAGAAATGAAAATTCAAAGACGAGCTTATTTGGAATTAAAAACTGCCACCGTTACCATTCAGAATATTTACAGAGCTAACAAGGCGTCGAAGAAAGAAAGACGGTACTTTGAAACGTTAAAATCTGCTACAATACTCGTTCAAAGGAAGTTTAGAGCTAATAGAGCCATGCGAACCGAGTATAGAAGTTATACAAGACTGAGAGAAGCAACCGTTAAAATTCAAACTTGGTTCAGAGCTACAATGGAAATGAGAAAATGTCTCACTTACTTCGTATCTCTAAAATACGCAGTGCATATCTTTGAGGATAGGTATCAGGCGAAAAAACTAATGGAAGAACAACGTAGATATTACAAGGAGCTGAAATCGGCTACAGTTACAACCCAGAGAAGATACAGGGCCTTAATTTCGATGCGTGAGGCCAGAACCGAGTATACAGGATTAAAAACTTATACTCTTTTCATACAAAGGAAGTTTAGAGCAAATAAAATGGCTCGATCGGACAGAACAGCATTTATAAAACTAAAGGAAGCTGCTATTGTAGTACAAAGTCGATACCGGGCTCAACTGACAATGAGAGAATGCAGAAAAGAATACTTAGCACTTCAGTTAGCGGCGGTGGTGCTCCAAAGACGGTATCGAGCAAATTGTTTGATGAAAACAGCCAGAATTTATCACCAAAACCTTGTAAAGTACACATTAATCGTTCAACGGCGCTTCAGAGCCAACAAAGCAATGTCGAGACAAAGAGATAATTACGTTCGGTTAAGAAACTCGGTAGTTTCCCTCCAACAAAAATGGAGAGCAAAAAAAATTGGTGAGAACCAAAGGCAAAAGTTCGAAGCACTAAGAAAGGCTGCTTTGGTCGTTCAAAGAAGGTGGAGGGCAAATAAGCTGTACCACCAAGAAAAAACGAACTACGAAGTTTTAAAGAAAACTGCAGTAAATGTCCAACGTATCTGGAGAGCTAAGAAATTAGGAGAAAAGGAAAAATCCGATTATATTCGACTAAAAAATGCCGCTACTGTCCTACAACGAGCCTGGCGAGCCAAATCCCTTAAAGAAAAACACCATCGGGAGTACACAGAATTAAAAACAACTGCCATATTTCTGCAAAGGAGGTGGAGATCGATTAAATTAACTCGGAGACACAGAACGGAGTTTACAACATTGAGGAGAACTGTTGTAAGTGTTCAGCAAAGGTGGAGAGCTAACAAACTAGCACGTAAAGAAAGACGAAGTTACTTACAACTGAGAAACGCTGCAATTACCGTTCAGGTGAAACGTAGGGCTAAAAAACTTATGGAACGCTACAGAAACGAATTTGTGCTGCTGAAAAATGCCACTGTGTGTATTCAAAGACGATGGAGAGCGAATAAGTTGGCAAGGCAGGAGAAAACGACGTACGAAGCGTTAAAAACAGCTGTCGTTAATATTCAGGTTCGATGGAGAAGTAAGCAACTGGCTAAAAAAGAAAGGCTGTTTTATTTACAACGTAAGAGTGCCGCGAATGTCTTACAAAGCAGATGGAGAGCCAAAGTAATAGGAAATCGCGATAAGCAACGGTACGAAGCCTTGAAAAAGACTACGATATTCGTACAAAGAAAATGGAGAGCCAATAAATTAGCCAGAAAAGAAAGAATAATGTACGAGAAGTTAAAACACCAAGTTATTACTATTCAGAGACTTTGGAGGGCTATCACGTTGACTAAGATAGAAAAAGAAAACTACCACCGGTTGAAAACCGCCACAGTTCTTATACAGCATTGGTGGAGGGCACATAAAATCGGAACACATCAGAAAATACAATACGGATTGTTAAGGAAGACAACAGTATCGGTACAGCGAAGATGGCGGGCAAATATCTTGACAAGAACAGAAAGAACCCGTTACGCTGCGATGAGAGATGCCGCAATCGTTATTCAAAGTCACTGGAGGATGAGGCAAGCTAGAAACGGCTATTTACGGCTAAGAGAGAACACGATAAAAATTCAACGAATGTGGAGAACAAAGAAGCTGTGCAAACAACACAAAAGCTACTACGAATCGCTAAGGAAGACGACTCTATTTATACAGAGACGTTGGAGAGCCAATAGACTGGCTAGGGCAGAGAAAGCAAAATACGAAACATTGAAAAGATCCGCCATCGTTCTTCAGAGGCGTTGGAGGGCTAAGAAGCAAGTTGAAAGGGACAGAGGCAATTACATACGTTTAAGAACATATGCCGTAGTTTTACAGCGAAGATGGAGGGCAAGAAAAATGTGTAAGCAACTTAGGAACGAATACGAGACACTAAAGGCTACAGTCATAATGGTACAAAGAACGTGGAGGCTCAAGAAAGTATACGAATACGACCGAAACAGTTACTTGGAGTTAAAGAAAGCTGCTGTGGCCGTTCAGCAAAAATGGAGGGCACAGCTGCTTAAGAGATCTGCGTACGAAAGATACACTTTACTAAAGTATCACGTCCTTAGGGTCCAAGTGAGGTATAGAGCTAAAAAGTTGATGAAACAACAACGGGAATGGTACCTAAAAGCGCAAACTTCTGCCGGAATCATACAAAGGTTCTACAGGGGTTACAGGTGTATGAAACAACTTCAAGCTGAAATGAACGATAAAAGGAGAGTCGTCGTAGGACTTCAACGTTTGATCAGAGGTTGTTTAGTAAGGAGGAAATACGCCTACTTTTTCACGCCGGAAGAGAGAGAGAAGAGGAGGAGTATAAGGATGGAAAGGGCCGCCGCTATCAAAATTCAGGTAAAGTGAACTATTCCTTAACTAGGGTGTTTTGTTTTTGTTTTCACTTAATTATTTTATTAATAAAATAAAAAATATAAAACAAGTGAATATCATCCATTTGTTATAAAAATAAATGTAAACGAGCCTATAATTTGAAGTGTTCGATTTTGAATTAAATTAAAAAGTTTTAAATTAGTTCCATAAAAAATGAAAATTGTTACCTGGACTTTTATAAGTGGAAATGGTAAAGGGGAGTATAATAAACGAAAAAAAAATGGCGGAGGGTTGAAAAGTTGTGAAAAATTGTATCATTGGGATTTCTGGCGAAAGTTGCCGTTGAACAAAAAAGTGGCAAATACAAAAGTTGTAGATCATGCAAAAATCTATAACTTTTATAGAGGTCACTTTTTACGATAACTACAAAATTTCCGAGAAAAATGCGAAAAACAGGTTTATTTTAAATTTTTCGTTTTTTATTTCTCATTTCCGCAAAAATAATTTAATTTTGACGAAACTTGGTGAAAGTATACCTTTCTGTGTCTTAAATAACCACAAATTTTTTTAGATAAAAAAATCAAGAAGTTTCCGAGATATTAATTTTTTCCAGTCTGAAACATTTTTTTCAAAGAAAAATTCTACTTAGATTGTGATAATTTTTTTCGTTTTGGCATACTTTTCGGTGAAATAAAAAAATCAGTAATCCCAGTTCAAAAACATGCTCAAAAATGCAAAAAAATAAAAAATGACTTGCAACAATGAATTTTTCAGTTGATAATTTGTTTAAATTTGAAAAAAATTCAAAAACTGATTACACCATTCAATTGTACGGAAAAAATACAAAAAAACTGTCTCATTGTTTAACCCAAAACTTTATTTTTGTACATAAGTCGAATAGTGAATAAGTAAAATAAATAATAATTTTTTCTCTGTAGAATCGATTAGTGTACTTATTTATTTTTTTTTTAATTTTGATGAATTCATAGATATACAGTGTGTACAAGATAAGGATGGGATATCATTAGGATCTAGGAAACGGAAAGAGATACGGGGTGGCTCAGATTAGAAAAGAGTTGTGTTTTTAATACCGAATATGCAATTTAGAAAGTTTTAAAATTCCGGGTAGTTCCGGAGATATTTGAAAAAAACCAAAATTTTGCAAAATCGTTTAATTTTCTTCCTGGCTTTATTTGAAAACGAATTTTAAATTAAATTGCATATTTACAATGCCACGTTTTTCACTCTGTACAATGGCGCCAACATTTTTGCAATCCGATGTTTCGTCTTCGAGGGTTAATTTTTTTAAATATATCGTTGCTATTTTTATGACGAAATCTAGTCATTTTTAATTCTGAATTAGATAATATTACTATGGAATAAAGTGGCACTGTAAATATGCAATTTTATTAAAATTATGACCGGCAGAACTCTGTACGATGATTTTCCTAAGTAGAATTTTTCTTTGAAAAAAAAGTGTTTTGGACTGGAAAAAATGAATGTCTCGGAAACTTCTTGATTTTTTTATCTAAAAAAATTTGTGGTTATTTAACACAGAGAAACGTATACTTTCACCAAGTTTCGTCAAAATTAAATTATTTTAGTGGAAATGAGAAATAAAAAACGAAAAATCAGAAAAAAACCCGTTTTCGCATCTTTCTCGAAAATTTTGAGGTTATCTTAAAAAGTGACCGCTACAAAAGTTGTAGATTTTTGCACAATCTACAACTATATTAAGATAATGTGCAAAAGGGTGACATCTGTCTCTCAGACTTAATCATTGTCGCCTTCCCTGCATTATTACCTTACTAACACCCTTGATACATAACTATTCTAGGCTATGTGGAGAGGCCACAGGTCTAGGGCTATAGACACTCCGAAACTGATCAACATAAGGCAGAGGGCACACAAAGCAAACCTCAAGGCTGTCCCAGAGGATACCTTGGGTAACAGGTGTAGAGAGGCTCTACAAGCGTTGGTGAACGAAAAGTCAACTGTGTTTGGTGTGAATAAAGCTTTACAGGATTTAGGTATGTCGACTACGATGGTCCTTAAGTAGATTCCGATAATAAATAAAGGAGTGATTTTTTTTTATACTCTATTGTAAACTTTGTAGCATTTTACCAAAAACTTTCAACACTCGGTATCTCAAAAACTAAAAAATTTGCGACTTAGGAACTTTTTTGCCTTAAACTGATTTAAGAATCGCCCCTTTTACTGGAACACACTTAAAAATCACCCTGTAATTACATTTTAATTACTCACAAAAAAATTGTGAATTCTCGTTTAAGATTACATCACGAGGCACTCCCAGGACGTCTGCCAAGAGGTGGCGCAGTTCCTGCCCGAACAGATGTACCTCATGATCAAAACCACGAACCGTTCCTTGCCGGAAATGCGGGCCTGCATCCTCTCCGTCAATATCCTGATAAACGTGTGCAAATACCCGCCCACGAGGCCCTACAGCTTCTTCCCGGAATATATCGATAACTTTGTCACCATTATGATGCACTGGTGCGATAAGGAGGCGCTGCTGTTCCCCTCCATGTGCACGCTGCTGTGGCTGTTCGCCCACAATCCGGAATGGCGGAAGGTTATCGGATCCCTGCCCAACATCGAGCAGAGACTGAGTAAGATACAGTCGCAGGTGTCCAGGAAGCAGAGCATGGTGAGGAGGGCGGGGGCCAAGGGACAGTCGTTGTTCGCGCCCTACGAGACTCTGCCGCTGCCCTCCCTCGAACCGGATTGGGGGCTGGCGTACAAGTACAATCCGTACATATTCACCAATTCCGTACATGCTTTTTCTTCGTTGTTGTGTATTTTAAATTTGTGATTTTTTTTTATTGTAGTTTATTTTTACTAGATTTTATATTGTTTGTTTGTGTGTATATTTTAAAGTGAATTAAACGAGGTGAAGTTTTTATGTTTTTATTACGTTAATTAGGAACGGAAGAAACCAAACATAGCTTTTTTTCAATTGTTTCTATACAAATAAATATTCGCTTATATAAAAAAAAAATCGTGTGTGGTCGTCGAAACAAACCGTTTTTTTATTTCCTTATATACTGAGTGATCTTATGAAATTGTTCCACGATGGCGGGCATCACTGCGGACACGGAGGTCTCGATGAGGTTCTGGATGTAGTGGACGGCTTCTTCGTCGCTCAAATCCAACCTCAGTTTGTCTTGGACCTTCCTCACCGCCTTGTCCGGCTCCAGGGCGATGTCGGGAACGCTCGCATCCACCATCAACGAGAACAGGTTCAGCATCAGATTTGCGTGCCTGGAAATTTCCAAAGCGCGTTAGTTTTGATTTTCTCGGGATAACAGACCTCTTAAAATTTCCCCCGCCTTTCTCTTATATCGCGAGATTTGACAACAGTGCGTACCGTAGCTCTCATGTGTTTATGCGCCCTGACAGATAATGTGAGTAGTTTGGTCACAGTAGCCTGTCCAGCAGCGAGGTACGATAATTATGAAAAAATTAAAAAAAAAATTAACTTTTACGATGAAATTTGAGAAATATTTTCACTCTGATGGTGCCAAATCGATTTCCAAGAAGAGATTTGGACTTTTATTACATTTTATTTGACTATTTCTTTCCAATTTCGCAATAAAAAATAGGGGTTTCCATTTAAAAAACTTAACTTGCGCTTCAAATGACCTTCAAGCTCAAAATCAAGGTCAAATCCAAGGTCACCATCAGATAGCCAGGGAAAAATTCTTACACTTTTGTCTGGAACATTTTTTCCCAAAATGTTTTCTTTGACAGTTTTTCTGCCGTACCGGGACTTTTGTATAACCCTGTATATCTTTATTAAGAGTAAAAAAAAAATTTGTATTTACCTTCTCAAGTGTAAAAATGCCGTGTAACAAAGCTTCCGAAACTCTTGGTAATGTTCCGAATTCACACCTCCCATCGCGTCCACCATCTCTTTGCTCAGCTTCATGGGAGGAGGTAACGGTTTGGGGTCCCTCCCCAGAATATAACCGAAATCGATATGGAACAACTTCCCGTCCTGCGTGAGCAGAAGGTTGTCCAAGTGCCTATCACCGACCCCCAGGAGGTAGGTTATAACGCAGTAGCCCGCACAGGATTTCACGTATGTATCCATGATGTCCGGTACTATGCCGTACGGGCCGTTCTCTTGCGGGTGGTACTTTTTAAAGTAGTTGTGAATGCTGCCTGAAACCGTATAAAATGGCGTATTACAGCTTATTAAAAAAAAAACTGTTCAAATCTATTGGCTACACGTAATATGCCTGAGCACACATTGCGCTAAAAATGTGTGAAAGAAGCCAACTACTAAAAATTTACCTTGTAAATGTAAAAAAAAAGTATTTTTATTACACATTGTTTGAGGACCGCTGAGATATTTAATCGAGTGACACTGGTTGTTAATCGTTACAGTACTATCAATACAGTAGCGAAAGGTTTATTAGACCAGGATATCTAGCCCGAAAATGACCATTTCATGCATAATTCTTAGGTCGGGCTGATTTTTTGTGAGCAGATAGTAAAAATAGTGTAGAATAATATGTACCATATCCGCACGCTGAAAAAGGCTAACGACATTGTTTAAAAGTTGATCAAACATTAGAAATTCGTGTTTAGCGACTGTAACTTTTTTTCTGACCGTTCTACAGAGAACTTTTTTGTTCGTCTTTAAAAGATCTACAAAACGACATCTCGAGCGTCAAAAAATATCAATCCGGTCAAAAGTTACTTGCAAAAATAAACAATAAATCGTGATGTTACCACAGAGGTTTCTTCGGATAAAACTCAATCATTCCTCATTGCAGATAAATAATTTATCGATCAGCTTCCCCCACCACACCGCCGCAATTAATATTTACTGTACTGAAAGCACTCCGGCTGCTGATTACGTGCATATTTTTTTTCCGCTCCGCACTTTATTTATTCAACAGTAGACCGTCAACTTTGAAAGCCCATAACTCCGTTGTTTATTAACGAAACGTGACGAATCTTTTTCAAATTGAAGTTTTTTTATGCTCTTTTAATACATGTAATAAAATTTAAAAAAAAAATTATAAATTAAGGGCGTATTTATTTTTGCAACTAGGGAAATTATTTAAATAATTTCCCTTCACTATAAAAGTGCATTTTTTGAGAAAAAACAATGGAACTCGATAGCTTTTTGTTAAATCTACCAGTAAAAAAAATTGGCGTGACTTCAGGTATCTCATAATTCACAAAATAATCCACTTACGGATTCCGGCTTTCGCATAAATTATTTGTCTGCAGTGAGAATGATTGAGTGTTATCCGAAGAAGCCTCTGTGATAATATCGCAATTTATAATTGTTTATTTAAAATGGCATAATTGGTGGTTTTTGCAAGTAACTTTTGACCGGATTGATATTTTTTGACACTCGTTTTGTAGATCTTTTAAAGACGAACAATAAAGTATTTCACCATTTCGCTGTAGAACCATCAGAAAAAAGTTACAGTCGAAAAACGCGAATTTCTAATGTTTGATCAACTTTTAAACAATGTCGCCCGCCTGACCGAAGAATTATGCATGCATACTCCTATATTTCCTGGTCCATTATACACTTGTGAAAGAAGTAGTTTGGAGCAGAAAATCTAAACAGTGGTGATGAAAAAAAAAATCACCAGTCCCAATCTAAATTAGTTGTTTCTTAACTATCACCCCCCTACGCATCTAAAAGTGTTGCCGTGTTACTGTAGCCTTGATAAAACTGCAAAAATACTTAAGAACTTAAGTCCTATACGCTTTCACCTAGAGATAAAAAAAACGTCTCTATAAGTCGATAATATTGGAAAATTATTATTTAGAATCGAAGTTGCATGACAGACTATTAAACGATGGTATAAAGTTTTTGTAAATGTGTATAATCCTTTAATTCGACAAGCACCTACTGGGGTATGTCATACGAGAATTAACGTGTCATTCCCTCTCAACTCCAGCAGTTCTCAAAATGTTCGCATTTTTTTTAAGGCCAGTATTTGTTTATTCTTTTTCTTAAATTTTTTTTGTGACGGTTTTATATAACAAGATAGAACTATCCTAAAAAAATCAAGTATGTAAACACCTACCTATACAGGGTGTCGCGCTTAAATATGATACAAGCCTGTAACTTCTTTATTTTTTGGCCGATTTCAAAAATTTTTATTTGGGAATGTAGGGTAAAAAAACTATCTAACTGTGATACTGCTGTTTTTATTAATGCAGTACACAGCCAACTAGTGCTCGTCTGAAGATGTATTGAATTTGATGAAACTTGGTGATAAGACATTTTAAGAGATGCTGAATGAGAATAAATCTGTTTTTTGGAAAAAAAATCGCTAGTACCAAGTAGCTGTGTGAACTGCATTAATAAAAACAGCAGCATTACAGTTAGAGATTTTTTAACCCAAAATCCAAAAAAAAAAAGTTGAAATCGATCAAAAAACAAAGAAGCTACAAGCTTGTATCACATTTAAGCGCAACACCCTGTATATACATTTAACAACCGTCACTTCCGACAACAAATTTAATTGTTTTTAGTCTATTTCAATTTTTTTTTTCGGCCCGATTAAAGAGTGTAATTAAAAAACATCCCTAACGTATTTTTGTGTATTCTGTTCAAAACAAGATATTTTTTTTATTTGACGCGTATCTTACCTTCACTGCCCAGCGCTTCAGCCACGGTCACAGACTCGATGAATTGCACGAATCCGTGTTTCGTACTGGTAGCGAGAACCCTGTAAGGCGTCAGTTTGAGATCTAAATTCTCCTTCCTCAGTAACTTATCCATGAGAGTGATCATCTGCAAAATAAGCTGATCTTGCCGTAAGTCGTCTCCGAGTTTAAAAATAGCTACATACTCCTCGTTATCGATCGTTTTGAAATACAACTTCGAGGGCATTAACGCGGACTTGAATAAACTGGCTTTCTCCGGGACTATCCCGTTTATAATCACCTCCGGGTCCAGAGGGAACGGTATGGGTTCGAATTTCGAGAAATTAAACTTAAAAATGTCCGAATCGGCCAAGAGCTGTTGGAGCTTCTCCGCCTTTTTCTTGCGGTTGCCGCTTTCGCGGGACACGGTTTTCATCAGCTTCACCAGCTTATCCATGAATTTCTGCTGTTTCGTCAGCGTGTACCTCTTCTTCTGCATGCTCTCCGTGCCTTTGGCCAACGTTTGCGAAAGCATTTTCATCACGGTTAAGTACATTTCCCGCACTTCCAACTAAAAAAAAAATTTAGCAACGCAACAATCTTAAGGAAAACATTTTTATTTCTGTCAACTTACGTCCTGTTTAAGATTGGGCTCCTGATCCTCGCACTCCAACAACAAATACCAGTACAAGTAATTAGCGAGAGTGAAATTCTTGCAAGCCCTGTGTATCAAGAACGACGCCAAGTCCTCTATTTCCTCCTCCTCGTTCATATGGCTCTGCAAGGTGTCGGTATTACCGGAATCAGTCCACGGATTAAGGTTCTGCACGACATTCTCGGGCAGACCGGTCGGTTTTTGTTCCGGATCGACTTCTATCACGCTGTTTACATTGGACGCCGCCACCTGATCCGCTTGGTTGTAGCTGCCCGATCGGTGCATGACGGACTCGTTCGTTATAGTGCTGTTGCTCTCTTTGCTGTCCTTCTTCTCGAGCTGGGCCTCCACTTCCCCGATTAGGACCTCACGACCCGGGGATATCCTCGCATAACCTAAAAAGAGACGTTAATATATCTGTAATTACTTTATCGCTTAAAAATTCATAATACCATCTTGTATAGTCTTAAAATTCTCATATTTCAACGCCTGAACCAACTGGAGCAGGTACAGCAGTATCTCGTCATCCGGGGCTTGCTGTAACCGCGATATCGCGTATCTCCTAACAGCCTGATGCGTGAAACTAGGGCCTAACAATTCCAAAGCATCTTCTACGTCCATGGGCACCCATATATCCATCATGTGCAACGCCTGCCGCACCTCGTTGTGCTGGTCCCAATTGACGCATTTCAGGAACTTCGCTAACGCCTTTTTGTGGGTGCTCAGGTAGAACCGGTATTTCCAAACGTTATCTTGCTCCTCGTTGGACAGATTCTTCGTGGCCGGGTAGCGAATGATCGTGTTGAGAATGTCGCGCATCGTGGCGTTGGGTTTGGCATCCTTGTCACTGTGGCCGCTTCTTAGGGATCTGGCTAGTTTGTGGTGTTTGCTCTCGACTAGGTTCTCCTGCAACATTATTTGTGTATAAGTGTGTAGATTTCCAATAACTGTTAGATTTTGGGGCACTTGGAGACATGATAGTCAGGCGTTACTTGCGGAAAGGAAGCGTAAGATGTACGGAATGCAGGAATAATTGGAACTAGAAGCTAGTGATTCGCTTAAAAAGAGTTTTGGGTAGATGTGTTCCTATAATTTTGTGTATTTTTGCTTAAAAAATATTGTCGGCAAAAAATATTTCTTCTTTTCCATACCCAAATTTACATGAAGTCACAGCAAGCTCATAAATTCAAATTAACAATAAAGTTTCAACTCAAACACCAGCTAGGAACTTAAAAAATGATTAAAAGGAGACAATTTGTATTAATTTGTGTTACAAGAATGAAATGTTATACGTTTTAGTGCATTTTTTATCGAATTAAATAAAACCTTTTAATTTTTTTTGTTGTGTGTGACGAATTTTATGAAGTAGTGGATAAAATACTTCTTTTTACCTTGGACGTGCCAGTTTTATGTTTATTCTTTGTTATTTTAACGAAAATCTTAAACATTTTGATTGAGAACGGTCGGTTGCATAATAAGAATCGGATTACGATGAAAATACATAATATTTCAGGTGCCAGAACCTTAGAAATACATATATATATATCCCGTTTACGTATTTTATGAAACCTTTATAATGCTACAAGAAAACTCATGCCTTAAACAATATCTTTTCAGTTTCATAATAAACTGCCACTGATTAAACTAAAATTGTAGTTTTATACTTTGTTTAATTGTCAGTCTTTGTACTTGTCAATTTTTACTGATAGAGTTGGTTATCACTTTGTGTTGAGTCACAAATTTGTACAACCAAGTTAAGAATTGAGATTAAAAATTATATAAATAGTAAAAATGTGAAAAAAAATGCAATACAGTACACAACTTCAAATGTGGGTTTGCAAATTTATTTACGTACCTGTTGGCAAGTACACAAAAAATAAACACTCAAAAATCGAACATAAACACATAGCTGCAGTATTTCTTGCAAATTGAATGAATATATTGAATTGGAAGACTTAAAAGTGTGGATAGTTATTAGATTAATTTAGTTACTTAGAAGTTGCAAGGGTTGTGAACCCACACGCGACATGATAAGATTTACAGCATTTTCCTTTGAAAATAAGCAGTATTTAACAAATACCAATAACTCACATCGTCTCCGAGTTGTTCAGAGATCTCCTCCAACTTTTGCTTCTGCAAACAGTTGACGTAATCCTGATCACTAACGACTTTAGTCAGAATATTAACCTGATCCCTAAGACACTCGTTTTCTTTAATAAGAATCTTTGTCTCTAAGCCTTTAACGTATTTCCTCGAACAGGACTTACACTGCCAATTGGTGATTTCCAAATCGAAAACTTTAGCTGCGTTCTCGAAACAATCCATATGTAAATAACAGGGACATTTCACACATTTAATAGCACTAGTTTTTATGTACTGTCCACACAGGCGACACACAAACAAATTTGAACCCGTCATATCTTTGTTTAAGGGTATCTTCTGACTCACATGCCCCCATAGTGGCATTGCTTTAAATAATTGCAATAGCAATTTAAGGATATTGTGTCTAAACTTTTATCAGGTCTTATCTCGTCCTTATCAACGATGCCTACTTAAATTAAGAACTATTTACATTTAATAAAATACATTTCTTGCAATAAACATTACTTCGAATGAGATCTGATGAATTTTAATGTTTAACGGTAAAAAAAGATTAAAAACTTACCTTCAAAATTTCCTGATCAGGTACGGTAACCAAATCAGTTTGTGTCCTAAACGAAACAATATCTTCACCGTTTGGTTCAAAATACACTATATAATGTGGGATTCCGCAAACAATAACCATTGGGAACTCTATCATTACATAGAGATAATCTGAGATCCTCTTCTCCTTTTCATTTATCAATTCTATTTCTCGAAACGTTAGCCTATCCAACCAATCTACCTAAAAAGAATTATCACATTAGTTATTATTTATTGTCAATCGTTAATACTTACTTTCGTAATATGTCCGTTTCTATGTTTTTTGGCAAGTTTGGCTAATCTTTGCATTTGTTCTTTGCCCTGATCTTTCGCTTTACCAGGCGTTGTTGTGGGAGAGTTGCCGTCTGCTGTTCTATTAGGCCAAACGCGTAGATCCAGCATACCCTACATCAAATTATTCAAAAATAATGTCCGATATTTTAGCATTTAACACATTTATTGTCTTACAATCGTACCTGTCTAAACAAACCATGCTTGCTGAAGAGAGACACTGTCGTTCCTCCGACCGGCCCAATTTTATTAGGTCCGAAACAATCGTAGATAGTCAATGCAAGTTGAGCAGTTCTAGGTAAGTCATCAAATTGCACTGGCAGTGTTAACCATTCATTCCAACTAAAATAAAATGAAAATGTTACACCTTCGTTTTTTATTTGAACGTGACGAGCACTTACTTCCATCTAGAGGTGAACGCTTTATATGACGTGCTTACTGGTAAGCCTAGGGGTTCATTTTGATCATAAATTTGACAAACCACCATTAAATCTGAACAGCCGTCTTGGTACAAGCCCGAATACTTCAGCATCGGGTCCGCTAGTAATTTGTCATATTCTGGTTTTTGCCTTTTACCCTCCAAGGTACCACTGAAATTAAAGATATTATTGCAAAATAATTAACAATGAATATTATACTTACATTTTAACCTGAATTCTCTCTGGAATTGAAGAACTGTAAGCATAATAAAACTTGTCATTTAGCTCTTCCATTGTATTGATTTCAGTTTTTCATATTTTTAAATCGCAAAATGTACAGAGCACCAGAGCTTTGGAATACAAAATTGATAAATTAGATAAATTGATTTGACAAAGGATTTGTTTTCCCTTCACAATTTTACATTGTCAAATTATTGACAGGAATTAAATTAAAACTACCACAGTTTAAGACATTAGAACTACTGTAAATTGAACCTACTCAATGGCGGTTATTTTAAAATGCTGTATTTTTCATTAAACTATTTAACTATTTTTTAAAATCATATGTAATTATGAATTGTGATCTAATAATTATATCAAAACACTTACAATTATTACGTAAATCTGATAGTCGCTATTAATCAAGTGAGGAAAAAGATATAAAAATTGATTGTTTAATATTTTTCCTTATTTGACTACAACAAAGAAATTACTCTTGGCTGAGGTAGGGCAGAGTTAGTTGATATATAATTTTGTAACACTGTTTACTAACCTTGACTAAATAAAATGATAAGCAGAAATTTGTATTTATATTATAAACAATGTAATCGGAATAGATCGAGATCGTTTTTTTCTGTTTTTCTATATTCATATATTCATAATTTAAACTACTCTAATCAACTACCTCATATTTTATTTGACCTACATGCCCCTAGTTCTAAATATAGTGTTTCAAATTCGGAAAATCGGAAATGAAATACATGTTTTTATTTTCCGAATCCGGGTAAATATAAAAAGAATTTGACCACCTCACGTTCATTTTCCAAAAACGTGATAAGCGAGTGCTTTGTATTAATAGCTAAATTTAAACGCTCCCTGAAGTGTTGTTATAAATATTATAGTACTAATCAGTATCTTATCTGTTTGTGAAGTTGTTATATCAGTAGCACTAGGTTTATAGGTTCAATTACTCTCTGTAATCTATGGGTTCAATTTCAATTAATGAATTTAAAAACCATAAAGAGATTTTGTGAGATTCTACCTGTGCTGCAGAAATGGATATTATAAGACACCCAGTTAGTTCTTTGAAATTTGTTATCAACGATAGCTTCAATGGTAAAGAACCATGGCAAATTGTTACGATTACCACAACTACGATATTCTTGGGGGTCTGGTTCTATGACTTCCTATTTCAAGATGAGAGTGAGTACATAGCAAATGTTTTGTACATATTTATATATGACTTTTGCAGGTATCATCGATAGGGGCAAGAAAACTGTATTTCGATTAGCAAAATTAATTCCTTCTATAAAGAAAAGAATCGACGATGAGCTAAGTTCAATTTCTAAAAACTTCAAGGACGAAGTCGAAGAAAGAACAAAGCACACAACTTACATCACTGAGTTACCTCACGCCAAATTGTCTAAGAAAGACATTATAGAAGCTTTGAATACAAACTTAGGTTTAGGTGAGTTTAGGTTTGTTATTGCTTACACTGTAATGTTATTTGTTAAAAATCTGCAGGAGATTACGACTGGAAAAATGGCTTAGTTTCTGGGGCCGTTTACTACTACAGCCCAGATTTAATTGACGTGGTGAGCGAGGTATACAGTAAAACTTCATACACGAATCCTCTTCATTCGGACTTATTTCCTGGACTGTGCAAAATGGAAGCGGAAGTGGTCCGAATAGCTGCCGATTTATTTAACGGCAACGATGACACTTGTGGCACGGTAAGTATGTTCTTATTTCAAAGATTTTTCCTTATTATAATTCATTTCAGATGACTAGTGGTGGAACGGAATCTATTATAATGGCTTGTAAGGCTTACAGAGATTACGGCAGGGAAGTAAAAGGAATTAAGAAACCAGAAATTATCGTTCCTACCACTGTCCATTCGGCTTTCGACAAAGCCGCACAGTATTTGAAGCTTCGTGTTAGATCCGTGAGAACCGATCCCAATACTTGCCAGGTAGACGTAAACGGTGTCAGGAAAGCTATTAATTCGAATACCATCATGGTAGGAATGTGAATATTCAATTTTTATGTTTTTAGCCATCATATAATTGTTTTTAGATTGTGGGATCCGCTCCGAACTTCCCGTACGGGACGATGGACGATATCCCGGCACTCTCAGAACTAGGAGTAAAGTATAACATCCCAGTACATGTGGATTCGTGTCTAGGAGGTTTTCTGACTTGTTTTATGGAAGATGCGGGGTATCCTATTCCTCCATGCGATTTTCGACTGCCAGGAGTTACCAGCATTTCTGCCGATACACACAAATATGGTTTCACCCCTAAAGGTACTCGATTAAAATCTACGATAATTTTTTTAACCAATGAATGACTGTTTTGTAGGTTCTTCGGTGGTGTTGTATAGAGACGTTAAATATCGCCACCACCAGTACACGGTTACGACAGACTGGCCTGGCGGCGTTTACGGGTCTCCTACTGTGAGCGGTTCTAGAGCCGGTGGCAATATCGCTGTTTGTTGGGCGACTCTGTTGAATTTCGGAAGAGAAGGCTATGTGTCCGCCACGAGGGATATCGTACACACGACGAAGTATATCGAAAAAGGGTAAGTAACTGGAATTACCATTTATTGTTTGATTCACGTTGATTTTTTTTTAGACTGAGACGGATGAAAGGAATATTTATTTTCGGCCAACCAGTGACCAGCGTGATAGCCTTGGGATCGAACGATTTTCATATTTATAGACTATCGACGGCTCTTAAGGAGAGAGGTTGGAATTTAAACGTACTTCAGTTTCCGTCGGGGTAAGTTTTTGTTTAAAAATAAACGGAATTGTCGTATAACAATTAATTTCCAGTATTCATATATGCGTGACACACATGCACACTCAACCCGGCGTTGCCGATAGATTCTTGAACGACGTACGAGATTCTCTTTTTGAAATCATGAAAAATCCGTCGTTGCCGGTAGAGGGAAAGGTACTTATTTACGTTTTTTACCTGTGGAATATTTCAAATTTTTATTTTCAGATGGCAATTTATGGAGTAGCTCAGGAACTTCCTGACAGGAGTATCGTTGGAGACTTCACGAAATTATTTTTGGATTCGACATACTACGTTCCAAAAAGGGGTAATTAAGGGCATTTAAGGTGTAATTTTTTTGATACTGAAAGACGAGGATGAGACTATATTATTGAAGGTACAAATATGATGATCACGTGTTTTATTATATGTAATTATTTTATTATGTGTTTAAAAATAAATAAATATTTATTTTAAATTTATTGCCTTATCCTTAAATAAATGTAATAAATGAAGTGGTGACACAGCCATTTTCATTTTATCAAAATTAACGTTGAATGTTCGTTTTTTGCCCGCCTGTTGCTGTATCTCATCAGGTGGATTGATATTAAGTAGTTCACTTGAACTGGGTCAACATCAGAGATCATTGACACAGATTCACAAACTTGAACTAACATTTTAATTATTAAATTATTTAAAAAGTATTTTAAATCTATTAGTAGATACGTATTATTATTTATTTTTTTATTATAAGTAAGTAGGTATAATGATCAATTTGTTTAAAAAGGTAACGACAAATAATACGCATGCAAATTAGTTTTGGAGCCCAGTGTAGACATAGACAAGAGATTAAAGGCAATCCAAAAAGCTAATTACAACTCAGCTATTTATAATATTTATTTAATTAAAAAAATATACAATTGATCTACGATTGTCTGAATGCCATTCTATTCCTATATGATCAGTGCTCAATGCTATAACTCCTTTAGTTTTCCCAAAGATGGCACTGAAATTTATATGTTGTAAAAAAAAAAATTCGATGTAACCTTGTTTTGAAAGATAACGTTCGAAAAAGCCATAAATACGGTAAACAACGTGTGTATATATTATTTAATTAACTTAAGTTACGAATTAATTGAGATTTAAAATGAACCTACCCAATAGGTTTACGTTTATCTCCTTTCAAATGAATGAAGATCCCTAAAAATAGTTGCTGAAGTGCCTCATTGTTATCAAACAATAGTTATGTGTTCAACAAGTACCTTAGACGATGAGTCTATCGCCGAGAGATTTAAAAGGGAGTACACCGAACAATTCCATATTCTAGTACGGATGCATCTTTCTTTCGTATTAGATTTAAACACAGATAGGTAAGTGTTAAATGTATTATATTAACTGCATAATAAAACTAGCACTTCTAGCAGTGATTGTTTCTCGGAAAAAGGTAAATTTAAAAAATGGAATCTTGTACCATTCGGAAAGAAATCAAAGGCTCGTGGTATTATGGAGGGTGCTCCTTTAACTCAAGAAGGAATATGTCAAGTCTATCAGTTAATAGAATTTTTGAAAAAGGAACAAAGTGTGTCTGAGTAAGGTAATTTCTGAGATTTTTTAAATTGTGTGCCTTAATTCTAGATATAAAAAGTGAAGGAATATTTAGGAAAACGGGGTCTTTAGAGAGACAACAGGAGTTAAAAAATTTGTTAAGTCAAGGTATTACAGTTCAGTTAGAAGGAGGGGCATACAGTGTACATGATTGTGCGTCCGTTCTTAAAAGTTTTTTAGCTGATTTATCCGATCCCTTGTTGACCGAAGCTCATTTTCCTGCATACTGCCAAATTGCAGGTATATTGCTATATTTAATATAAAAAATTATAGATTCTCAGAATTATCTTTTTCCCAGTTATTTAAAAAATACACGATTTTTCAGAATCTTGCGGTATTATTCGCCAGTCAACTCAGGAAAGCAAATTGTTAGAGGCATTACAACTTTTGTTATTGCTCCTACCCATGGAAAACAAGGTTTTGTTGAAAGATATTTTAGATTTACTGCATCTAACGACATCGTTTGAATCACAAAACAGAATGTCCGCCGATAATTTAGCAAAGTTATTCGCACCTCATTTATTATGCCCTAGAAAGTTATCTCCTGAAAGTTTGCTAAAAGATTCACAGACCTTATTCGGAATAGTCAGTTTCATGATAAAAAAGGCACCGGAGTTGTTCAAGATCCCCGCAAAACTTATCGTCGAATTCAGGGCAAGATACGAGAAGAAGAAAATCCTCTCGCCCACTAAAAGACTGAACGAATCTATGACGGACGCAGCTAGCACGGTTTTTACGTTCGTAGATCACGAGAGAACTGCCAAAGAGAACGAGTCGAACCCAACAGAGACGGCTTTAGCCCAGTTGTACGCGCACATCCAAAGCCTACCTGAATCCTCCAAAAAAAGGAAACTAGTCAAACAGTTTAACAAAGAAAACGGGCATGGTACGCCTTTGCAAGTTATTCGTAGCGGTGTTTCTAAAAATAAGAGCTTCGGCGATTCGATAAAAAGGCACATTTTCCAAAAGGCGTTGGCTAGGAAGAAAGGAGTGGCGCTGCTTCGGTCTTCCAGCGACGAAATTTTAAGTGTGAGTACGCCCCGACTTAATCCTATTGTTAATCCATTACACTTTTTAACATTTTCACGTTGTGCATCTCCGTCTATCGCTTCTGTGTTTTTCTCGAACAGTTGCATGCTTTCATTTGAATTGCAGACTCCTCAGCATTCACCGTCTATCGTAACAAGGGCTCGACTGTTTTGCCACAACTGCGACTCGAGTACAGACGTAAGTACAGAAAACGGTGAGAAAATTAAAAATACGAATTCCGAATCGAATTCGGAAATTGTCTCTGTGGAAAATACTTCCAAGGATTCGAAAAGGAGCAGGTCTGAACCCGATTTGAGTTGCGAGGAGGACAATCGGTCACGTAAGGTGTATTTAACTAGTACCCCGGCATGTTTGCCCTTACGGGCACGTCCGGATATCATTTTCACCCCGGAAGAGCGAGAACGTAGGTCCATGTCGCCTATTACTAGGTCGACGCAGCGCATGACCAGGGCTATGCAGGTTGGTGAAGTGTTTTTGATTTGCTCTTTGTGCGTTTTAATTTTTTCTTGCAAATAACCCATAAAATCTATTTTTATTAATCTTTTAACTAAGCCAGGTCTTTTCAGTAGCGATTTTGAATACAGTTTTAAATGTTTAGGAGACTATGATGACCCCGAGAAGTCGTAAACCCGTTTTAGTCCTTTCCGGAACGAACATCAATACGTTGCACAAAGCGGGACAATCGAACTGCGTCATGGATAAAATGGAAGAACTAACGGAAAATTCCATTGAGGAGAGCAGTTTCGAGCGGGTGCCAAATTTTAAAAAATCGAAAAGCGAAAGTGATATATACGATTCGAGAATGTCGAAAATACCAAAGATGAGCAAGTCCGATGCGTCCTCTTCGTCGATTTCTGATACTTTTAGGGAATATTTATGTAGTAGAGAGATGGAGACTCTGTCCTCGCCTGTGGATTCGAGTTTTTCGAGCAGAACTGATGATTTTAATTCAACCGATTTTAATAATTTAAGTAACAGCAAACTGACCGACTCTTTACTTTATTGTTTAAATGGAAACGATCCTGACGATATCGACGCGATGGACAAGAATTCGGAGCAAGAGAAAGAGTTAATTCTGAAACCGAAACAGTTCGACGAGAACGGGAAACCTATTATGTTCGAAACGTCCTTTTGACGTTCATTTTTAGGTTTACTTGAATTTAGATATATTGTTACATATTTTTATCTATATTAGATTTATTTTAGAAAAATCGAATTACGTGTTTTATTAACCCGTTCCCCAATTTTTTATTTGTGGTTTTAATACTAAATAAACTTGTTAAAAATGAGCATTTTAATAGAAATTGACCTGAAACATAGTCTTCTTAAAATTTCAATAATATTAATCGAATATCCTACTTACAATTACAAAATAGATAGTTTCAAAACATAAAGATTAAAACATATCATCATGCGTTAAATCCGATATTAGATGTAACCCTCTCTCTTTTAGGGCTTTGGAAAGCAGTCTCTGCTTTTCTTGCTTTGTTTCCTGTTCTTTTCTCTGGGCATCGAGGATGTCGTCTACAGAAACTTCTGTCAAAGGTAACTCGCTCTCTTTTTCTGCATCCTAAAAGTCGTATTTTATATAACTATGTTTTTAATTATGATTCAACTTACTATTTCTCCTAAAAGCACAACGTTTTCACCTCTGACAATAAACACTCCTCTAGGTATATCTCCATATTCCTTGCCTACATGTATACGTTCGATAGTCTTGTGCAAAACCAAATTAGCAAACTGATCGACACTTCTTAAGTAACCGATCAATGTTCGTCCATCGCGCAGTAAAACCATTAGCTTCTCTGAAAATTAAATGCTTCTATTACAAAGTTTATAGCGGTTTGAATTTTCTCAATAAAGAAATATATAATCACATACCGATTACATATATATCTTTTCTTTATTATTATTGACTTATAGTATTTATGTAAAAGAAATTAAATTTTATTACTGTCCAACTCATCCAATAAATGGGCAGTTCCTTCCAGTTCTGGTTTATTCATCATTTGAAAATATTTTCAAATATCCAAATATAATAAAAATATAACCACAAATTTAAAAATTTCAGATATTTCTTCTACTGACAATTTAGTAATTTAGTTTGTACATCGAATTAGCGAAATAATACAATTCCATTACTTCGAATTTTTACTTTCCACTGTTCGCAATAAATAAATGACAACTTGGTTTTATTACTTGTGACCACAGACTTCTGCTTGTGATTGGAGGCAGCGTCCCAGTGAGGAGAGTGTAGCGGAGGTTTAGAGAGAGAGAGAGAGAGAGAAATGGAGGGTATTTCCATTCTCTCTCTAGCAATATGCACTCGCGTGCTCATATAGAGAGATAGCAAATACCCTCCAATACCTCTCTCTCTCTCTAAACCTCTGCTACACTCTCGGACACAGACGCTGCCACCAGTAGTATATGAAGCTTGAAGCTTGTGATTTGCGGTTGCAGCTGACCCCTAGTTTTCTGAATGTCAGTTGGATAAGATAGCAAGTAGGTAAATAAAATACGGCTAATAATTAGATACCACTAGCACTAGCACTACCAGCCAAAGTTGTTAGTTCCACTGTACCACGAGATCGATGAAATGTTTTTAGTCAATTGGCTAGATTTTCAAATATCACTTTGGCGATTGGGTTAAGCCGCTTTTTTTAAAAAATATATATTGTTTAGTGCCGCAGTAAAATAGTTATGTATATTTCAGAATTTTATCATAACGCTAAGGCTTTTTTAATAGCTATTAAGGTTTTGTTTTGTAAATTGAAACATTTTGGAAGCTTTTGGTACACTGCTAAATAAATTTTTAAAAAATGGTCCTACAAAATTGTACTTTATTTTGTTACATAATTATTTATATTTACAGAAAAATCCATAATAAAGATAATAGAGAATAAATATAACAGACATTAGTATAACTTGGATACTCGGTAAAAATTCTAATAAGGAAAATTTCTTTCGAGATGTCACCTAGACCATGAAGACGTCTTTGTGTAATCCCTTACGACAATATTATTTTCTTTAAGTTGTTCTCTGATATTATCACATAGTTTTAATATATCCTTATCTTTTTTTTCTATACCAATTAATCTTACATCTTGCCGAAAATCATTTAATATGTTCATTACTTCTATGAAATTCTCAGAACTTCTTGTAGTTCTTTCATCGAAATCTACTCCAAATAATGTTAAAATGCCAGAAAGAAAATTGGATACTGCTGCCACCGAACTTAAACCAATTTGGTTATTTGATGACGTGGTGGTATGGAGCATCGAATTCGTTACGGAGACGAGCTCGTTTAAAGTTCTAATAACACTTGGAGTATCGAAATCATCACACAAAGCATTATGTACACTACTATAAGAGTCGCCGAGCACTTTTAACAGAACATCATTGTTTATAGTAGCTTTCAAATGCCCATTTATATAATCGTTACAAGAAATTATGAGGTTCTTATATACTTGGTAAACATTTTGGGACGTTTCTAAGAGCTCTTTGCTATATTCCATGCCACTTTTATAGTGCGACATAGCACAGGCCAATCTAAAGACCTCAGTTTTAACTTCTTGTAACATCTCTTGAATCGATACGGTATTTTTGAGAGATTTGGACATTTTTTCTGAATTTTTTAAGTGCAAGTGACCAATGTGAATCCAGTAATTAACCCATTGTTCAGTTTTATGGTAGCTACATGACTGAGCTTCTTCGTTTTCGTGATGGGGAAATTTGAGATCCATCCCACCAGCATGAATGTCGATGTTAGAACCTATAATAACATATTGTTTTAATTTAATTATTAAACGATTATATTGAATCTTACCTAAAACGTGTGAGGCTAAAGCCGAGCATTCTATATGCCATCCTGGTCTTCCTGAACCCCATGGGCTATTCCAATATGGTTCTCCCTCTTTACTTTCTTTCCATAATACAAAATCCATATCATTCTTTTTTACACCTTTTTTTGTCTGTTGTTTTGTGCCTTCATTAATGTTTACCAATTTCCCATAATTATCATTTTCTACAGAAAAATAAACAGAATTATCTTTGGCCATGTAGGTTTGACCGTTACTTTCAAGTTGTTTGATGAAATCTATTATGATATCCATGTTGTCTGTTACTCTTAATATAATATTAGGTTTTGCGATTCCAAGACTTTTTAAATCTTCAAAGAATTCCTTTTCATACATTTTCGCGACATCTTTATACGTTTTTTTCATTTGAATTGCTCTTCTGATAATTTTGTCATCGATATCTGTAATATTCATTACCGTTATGAGATTGTACTTAAAATAATTCTGCAGTATTTTCTGAATTATATCTAATTTTACATAGCAACTAGCATGTCCAATATGAGAAGAATCGTAAACTGTTGGACCACAAGTGTACCAAGTTATTAGATGCTTGTCTCTAATGACTAAGGGTTCCTTGTTTCTCGTGATACAATTGTAAACTTTAATTTTCGTATCAAATCCTTCCGGTTTCGTCCAGGTATGGATTGGATGAAACTTTAAGAAGCATTTTTGAACTTTTAGAATTTGTTTACAAATTAACATCTTACAAAGTAAGGTTATGACGAATTGAGGTTAACTTAACCTTAATGTTGCCACTGACACTGACAACTGTTGTTTTTTCTTTTTTTTATGGTCCTCGTTCAGTAGAGATGACAGCAGTTCGTTTAAACTACTCATATTTTTATGAAAAAAAAAATAAAAATGTAGAAAAGTACAACACAAATTAGAATACAACATAAAGTAGAACCACAGCATAAGAAGAAATATATGACGGTATGAAAAACGAGCTACGAGTTTTCGAACTTTTTCTAAATTTTCTGAAAAAATCATTAATTATACACTATTAAGAGACTATTAAGAGTGTGAATTTCATACATTATTGTCAATTGTAAAATGTAGTTATCTATATTTAGATGATCTCGTTTACTGTAAATAGTGCAAATCTTACAGAAGTACATAGACAATTTGTAAAAATGTAAAAAATTTACGTTCCGTTATGATGACACGAATATACTGAACGCTGAACGCAGCTTTAAAAGCACAGACTTTAGGCTTGCGCAATGCAGCTTCGTCTTCCCCTGCGGAAAAGTGACGTCATTGATCTAAAAATAAATTGGACTTCATTTCGTGATTTCGATTCAATCGACAACTCTTGTATTGCGGTGAAGTTTTGCTCGTGTATTCTATTCTAAGAAGTTATCAAATGCTAAAAGTGTTTTTGTGTAATTGATTGATGCCTTGTTAAGGTGAGTAAATTCCATTATAAAGCGAAATAATGTAAATGGGTTCAGGTATAAACAGCAAGATCAGTACATTTTGAGCCTACCACACCCTTGTTTTCCATTTTCGAGAACGTATTCATTTTCGTATTGTATATAGATAAATATGTTCTAATATTGATTTTACTCGTATTTTATATTTCCCGTTAGTTTTTTGTAAAACTATTACAAGGCCTATTGGTGATTAATTTTTTAAGAAATGTTTCCAGAGTAGACATTTTTGTCATCATAGACATTAAACATTCGTTAAAAGCTGGAATGTTTATTGAATTTTAAACTATAAAAGTACTGTAAATAACATGTCTTGAGTCATACATATTTAGAATTTACTGTGATGTCATGCTAATGTAATGCAGGCAGTCTCTACTTAATCAATTTGATAAAATAGGTCATCTACTACCATGTAAGCCAATGATGTTTTTTCATTTTATTGAACGGCTGAGGACGGTAGAGTTCATCACACCCATGTTGTATTATGTCATCTTTAATTAGAAGTTCTCAAGGTTTATTTAATTTAGTATTAAATTAAATTTGGCGTTTTCAATTTTTTTAAAAGTTAATAGAATATGAAAAATGCATATTTTGTTTGGTACATATAGATTATATTCTGAATATTAGTCATTGATATAAACATAATGATTTTTGGCACGTAATTGTGATTATTATATTGATGTGCTAGACTCTGAGACTTTCAGTTTCCTATAAGTGTTGGACCTATGTTATAGATAATTTTTATCTTTGTTTATTTAAGGGTTTTATCAGATAAATGTATAATTTTTCTATACTTGAGTAAATTTGATTGATCTTTAATGTCTTACGCAATGGGTAAGTTTTTAACTAAATCTGCTTTTTTTTCACTCGTCATTTTTAAATATTTCAGTTTTTTTGTAATAATTTTTAACAGTAATTTCTATATCATGCAGAATCAGGTGTAGACATGGATCAGATACCGCCTCCGAAAGAGGTGCGGATCCTCGAAACAGCAGAGGATATCCAGGAACGTCGTCAGCAAGTCTTATCGCGTTACGACAACTTCAAAGCTGACGCCAGGGCAAAGAGGGAGAAGTTGGAAGATTCCAGACGATTCCAGTACTTTAAACGTGACGCGGACGAGTTAGAATCATGGATTTTGGAGAAACTACAGGCAGCTTCAGACGAGAGCTACAAAGATCCAACAAATTTGCAGGCGAAGATCCAGAAGCACCAGGCTTTCGAGGCAGAGGTGGCGGCTCACAGCAACGCCATCGTCGTGTTGGATAACACAGGAAGGGAGATGATCAACCAGAACCACTATGAAAGTGAAACGATCAGAAGGAGATTAGGTAAGTTCACACGTAATGCATAAATAGATATTTTTGTTTTGATGGTCAGAGAAGCAGTTTTAATATTAACCATGTTCATAACTATAGAGGAGCTGCATAGATTGTGGGAACAGCTTCTTTCGAAGCTTGCCGAAAAGGGCATGAAACTCCAGCAAGCTCTAGTTCTCGTCCAGTTCATTCGTCATTGCGACGAAGTAATGTTCTGGATAAATGAAAAGAGTACGTTCTTATCCACGGAAGAATTCGGGCAAGACCTCGAACATGTGGAGGTACTTCAAAGAAAATTCGATGAATTCCAGAAAGACATGGCCTCTCAAGAATACCGTGTGACGGAAGTGAACGAACTCGCCGATAAATTGCTACAAGACGGCCATCCGGAAAGAGACCAAATCATTAACCGTAAAGAAGAACTTAACAACGCATGGCAACGTTTGAAACAAATGACCCTCATGAGGCAAGATAAGCTTTATGGAGCTCACGAAATCCAACGTTTCAACCGAGACGCCGATGAGACTGTAGCTTGGATCGCCGAGAAAGACGTCGTGTTGTCGTCAGACGATTACGGACGGGACCTGGCTAGCGTTCAAGCTTTACAGAGAAAACATGAGGGTGTCGAGAGGGACCTGGCAGCTCTGGAGGATAAAGTGTCCACTCTCGGACAGGAAGCGGACAGGTTGTGCGCCATCCACACCGATCACGGGGATGTAATTCAAGATAAGAGAGCGGAGATCGAAAACTACTGGCGCAGTTTGACCGCAAAAGCGAAGGTACGTTGTGATACACCGTTAAAACTTAAGTTTCAGCGCTTTTTTATAGGAACGTCGTGAGAAATTGGAAGAATCCTATGCCCTTCATCGTTTCCTGGCAGACTTCAGAGACTTAGTCTCGTGGATTAACGACATGAAAGCTATTATTTCCGCGGACGAGCTAGCGAAAGATGTGGCTGGCGCCGAGGCCCTCCTCGAACGTCACCAAGAACATCGTGGTGAGATCGATGCTAGAGAGGACAGCTTCATCACTACCTTCGAGGCAGGGAAACAACTTCTCGATAAAGGACATTACGCCAGCGACGAAGTCAAAGAAAAGCTCTCTATGTTGGAGTCGGACAAGCGATCGTTGATTGGTAAGTAAAAACGTGACTGAGTGTGTTGACGTGTCTTAATTGATTTATTTTTGCAGCTTTGTGGGACGAGAGGCGTATTTTGTACGAGCAGTGCATGGACTTGCAACTGTTCTACCGTGACACGGAACAAGCCGACACCTGGATGGCTAAGCAAGAAGCGTTTTTGGCCAACGAAGACTTGGGCGACTCTTTGGATTCAGTCGAGGCGCTTATTAAGAAACACGAGGACTTTGAGAAGTCGCTCGCAGCTCAGGAAGAGAAAATAAAGGCGCTAGACGAATTCGCTACTAAATTAATCGATGGTGAACATTACGCTGCCGACGATGTAGCGCAACGCAGAGCAATGGTCAGTATTCGAGTTTCGATTTAAAAACTGTGCTGATTTTTATTTTTTTTAGCTTTTGGAACGTCGCAAAGCACTGAAAGAGAAATCCAGCATCAGGAGGGAAACGTTGGAAGACGCTTATAAACTACAGCAATTCGAGCGGGACTGTGACGAGACGAAGGGTTGGATCAACGAGAAACTGAAGTTTGCCACCGACGAGAGTTATTTGGACCCCACGAACTTGGGCGGCAAAGTACAGAAGCACCAAAACTTCGAACAGGAGCTCAACGCCAACAAATCTAGGATGGAAGATATAACGTCCACCGGACAAGAATTGATAGAAGCTAAACACTACGCTTCTCGTAAGTCACTTCGGTACGTTCGTTACGTCTTTAAACACATTACAATTCTTTTTTTTTTAGCCCGCATCCAGTCACGAATGGAGGAGATCGTCAACCTCTGGGAGATCCTCGTCCAAGCCACCGATAAAAAGAACTCGAAACTCCAGGAAGCGAGTCAGCAGCAGCAATTCAACCGCACCATCGAGGACATCGAACTGTGGCTCTCGGAAATCGAGGGTCAACTCATGTCCGAGGATTACGGCAAAGACTTGACCTCGGTGCAGAACCTGCAGAAGAAGCACGCCCTGCTAGAAGCCGACGTTGCCTCTCACCAAGACCGGATCGAAAGCATCACTTCGGCAGCACATCAGTTCGTGGAACGCGGCCACTTCGACGCGGAAAACATCGCTCAGAAACAGAAGACGCTAACCGATCGTTATGCCGCCCTTCAGACCCCCATGGCCGTGAGGAAGCAGAGATTGCTGGATTCACTGCAAGTGCAGCAGCTTTTCCGTGACATCGAAGACGAAGAGGCTTGGATCAGGGAGAAGGAACCCATCGCCGCGAGCACCAACAGAGGTAAAAGACGAGTTTGTAGTTTAGGGTCGATACGAAACGGTATTTTATTTTGCAGGTCGCGATCTTATCGGCGTCCAAAACTTGATCAAGAAACACCAAGCCGTTTTGGCGGAAATTAACAACCACGACGGACGTATCAGAGCTGTCATCGACGTGGGACGACAGATGATGGAGGACGAGCATTTCGCTAGCGACGAGATCAGGAATCGCGTGGCGGCGCTCAGCGATCACTGGGATTCGCTGAAAGAGAAGTCAAGTCAGGTAAGCTGATGAAAAAAGGAATAGTGGAAGCGTATACATTTTTTTGAACAAATTTGAAATTTGAATTTGGAATTACAAATTACGTTTAATTTCAACTCGAATTACAATTTGAAATTTAAATTAGTGTTAAAACCAGTAGAAAACTACATATTTGTTTTTTTTTACCAAATGTTGACTTCAAATTTGAATTTCATGTTAAAACTCTAAATGTTAAATTCAAATTTAAAAAATTTCAACTTTTAACAGTAAATTTCAAATTGTGCTTAATTTTTTCTCATCTTTCTCTTGAACTGGAAACTGCTTATTTAAACTCGAATTACAATTTGAAATTAAATGTTAAAAAACAATTTTTTTTAACCAAATAAGTTTAAATTTTGTGTTAAAACTCAAAACTGCAAGTTGTGATACGAAATTTCAAATAGAATTAAATTTGTTTTGTTTCTTTTGGACACAAAATTTAAAATCAAACTCGTAGTTTCATGTTTGAACTCGAATTAGAATTTGAAATTTTGTTCAGTTAAAATTTCGAGTTTGAACTTAAAATTTTAAAGTTTGAACTCGAAACTGCATATTTAAACCCAAATTACGATTTGAAATTAAAATTAATGTTAAAAAAAAGTAGAAAAACTGCATATTTTTTTCCAAATGTTAAATTCAGGTTTGAACTTTGTGTTAAAACTTTAAATTCAAATTTAAAACTTCAAGCTTTTACATGAAATTTGCGAATAGAATTAAATTTTTTTTGTTTCATTTGAACAAAATTTCTAATTCAAACTCAAATTAGAATTTGAAATTTTGTTCAGTTGAAATTTCGAGTTTGAACTTAAAATTTTAAAGTTTTAACTTGAAACTGTATATTTATACTCCAATTACAATTTGAAATTAAAGTTAATGTTAAAAATAAAGTAGAAAATCTACATATTTTTTTATCAAACTAAATTCCAGTTTTAATTTTGTGTTAAAACTCAAAATTTTAAATTTAAAACTTCAAGTTTTGACACGAAATTTGCGAATAGAATTATTTTTTTTTTATTTCATTTAAACACAAAATTTCTAATTCAAACTCAAATTAAAATTTGAAATTTTGTTGAAAGCTGAAATTTCGAGTTTGAACTTAAAATTTTAAACTTTTAACTCGAAACTGCATATTTAAACACGAATTACAATTTGAAATTAAAGTTAATGTTAAAAAAAGTAGAAAAACTACATATTTTTTTATCAAACGTTAAATTCCAGTTCGAATTTTGTGTTAAAACTCAAAATTTTAAATTTAAAACTTCAAGTTTTGACACGAAATTTGCGAATAGAATTAATTTTTTTTTATTTCATTTGAACACAAAATTTCTAATTCAAACTCAAATTAGAATTTGAAATTTTGTTCAAAGTTGAAATTTCGAGTTTGAACTTAAAATTTTAAACTTTTAACTCGAAACTGCATATTTAAACACGAATTACAATTTGAAATTAAAGTTAATGTTAAAAATAGTAGAAAAACTACATATTTTTTTATCAAACGTTAAATTCCAGTTTGAATTTTGTCTTAAAACTCAAAATTTTAAATTTAAAACTTCAAGTTTTGACACGAAATTTTTTTTTATCTTCATTTGAACACCATATTTCTAATTCAAACTCGAATTTGAACTTAAAATTTTAAAGTTTTAACTCAAAACTGCATATTTAAATGCGAATTACAATTTGAAATTAAAGTTAATGTTAAAAAAAAGTAGAAAAACTACATATTTTTTTACCAAATGTTAAATTCGAGTTTGAATTTTGTGTTAAAATTCAAAATTTTAAATTCAAATTTAAAACTTCAAGTTTTGACATGAAATTTGCAAATAGAATTAAATTTGTTTTGTTTCATTTGAACACAAAGTTTCTAATTTAAACTCATAGTTTCATGTTTGAACTCGAATTTGAGTTTAAAATTTTGATCAAAGTCGAAATTTCGAGTTTGAACTTAAAATTTTAAATTTTGAACTTGAAATTGAACGAAAAATAAACGTGAATTTGGAGATCAAATGATCAATCAAGTATTTGAGTTCAATAGTTTTAAGTTTGAAATTTCAAATTTGAAGATCCTGTGGCAAAAAAACATGAAATTTTAGGGTTGAATTAAATTTTCAAATTCAAACTAAATTTCATGTTCAATCAAAAAATTTATAGTTTTAACGCTAAATTCCAATTTCAAATTCAGAATTTTAAGTTTGAACTTGATTTCAAGTTTGGAACTTGAAATAAAAATTAAAAAAAGAGAAATTTTGAAGCCAAATTCAATTGGTTGGACTCGAAATGTCGAATTTTAACTCAAACTTTTAACTCTTCAAACTGGGACTAGAAATGTGTGAAATTCAAACTCGAAATTTTTAGCTTTCACAACAAATTTCAGATTGAAGGTAGAAATTTCGAATACGAGAAGTAGTACATATTTGGTTTTTCTATACTACAAGCGCTATGTTGAGGAGAAACTACAATACATATTATTGTATCATAAGGGAAATTATTTTTAATTTGTATCATTCTTCGTAGCGCAAGCAAGACCTGGAGGACTCGCTCCAAGCTCACCAATACTACGCGGACGCCAACGAGGCGGAATCGTGGATGAAAGAGAAAGAACCCATCGTTAGTAACACGGACTACGGCAAGGACGAGGATTCCTCCGAGGCCCTGTTGAAGAAACACGAGGCTCTCATGAGCGACTTGACCGCTTTCGGGAATACCATCGAGGCGCTGAAGGAGCAAGCCCGTAACTGCCGTGTAAGTGATTAATTATTAATCGTTAAGAGGTGTTATTACTTATATCCTTTTTCGCAGCAACAAGAACCCCCGGTTGTTGACGTGACAGGCAGGGAAACCGTCCAGGCCTTGTACGACTACACGGAAAAATCGGCCAGGGAGGTGTCCATGAAGAAGGGCGATTTGCTCCATCTCCTCAACTCGAACAATAAGGTGAGTTGTTAATCGACGGAAATTTATTTTGTGAAATTTTTTTAACTTGGTATGAAAAAAATCGCAACAGTTTACCGGTTTGTTGTTTTAAGCGGGGGGAAACCACATTGGGACAGGCGTGTTTCATGATTTTTTGAGTTTTAAGTAATTGATTAGAATTTGATTAAACTTTGACATTATTTTGTCAATATTTCAAACTATAGTTACAAATTTTTTCAAGTCGTTTATTTCGAAAATGCCTAAGTTATTGGTTGTTGTCCACCGAACGTCATCGTCGGAGTTGGTTGTTCATGGGAAATGTGGGGATCGCAATTTTGTTTTCAGAGCAAAATGGTTCTTTTTGTACATTATTAACATGTTTTTTAAGAATATGAACTTCATTGCAGATAAAAATTGTGAAAATTGAAGATTTGGAACGTGTTTGAAAAAAGTATCGATTTTCACCATTTTAAATAAAAAACGCCCTTAAAATTATGATATCAAAATTGTTGGTTCATGTTCACACTTTCAATTTTCATAACGATCGGTTCATAACTTTTTGAGCTAGAGTTCCCGTGAATCAAAAAAATGTCGTTTCGAGAAAAACACGATTGAAAATTTCCCGAAAACTAGAAATTTGGGTATGTTATCGATGATATAGAATGCTTACCGATCGATCAGCGATTCCAGCACCATATAGCAGTCCGCCTTCTTATATATTACATCAAATTTCATGTATTACCTTTTGAAAAATACTTAGTAAACGAACCCACGTGATTTCCCCAGCAAAGTCGCGAACAATTTTTTTTTAAACAGAAAAAATGCAAAAAAAACATTTTTTTGTTTTTTTTATAATATCGAAAAATAATGATGGAATCGTCTTACTCTCAATAGGACTTGTAGAGAGAAAAAAAAACTATAAAATGGTTTTTTGTGCGACCCGATCGGTTCATTTTTTACAGAGAAAATCCGGAAAAATCTCTAAAATAGACCTTTTTTCAAAAATTCATAACTTCGTCAAATTTGAAGCTGGAAAAACAATCTTGCGGAAATGCAAGATGGTTTCTGTCCGATGCATAGTTTTTGCACAATTGCGTTATAAACAAATCACAGTCTTTTTTTGCACAGCATGGTGATTTATCAAAAATGGTCCGATGAGGAAAAATATGATAAAAATGCCCTTGAAAGTTGCTTGAAACGCTCGAGCCAGTCGGGTAGCGGTAGTGGGGAAGCAGCGAACGGAAGACTCTGGCTCGAGCATAGTTTCGATCATTTTGGGCAACTTTCAAGGGCATTTTTAGCATATTTCCCATCATCCAGGTGAAAATTGGAAATATACAAATTGGAGGTTTTGTCGTCTACTTTCAGATGTCCTTTTCAGAATTTAAATCGGACCATTTTTAATTAATCGCAAAAAGTAAAAAATACGACTGTTTTAAATTTTGATTGAATTGTACACGCATACTCCCTAACGACATCTATGAGTGTATTAGCGAAGTTATAAATCAATAGGTAAGAAAGTACGCGGTACCTTCCGAGCAAGTATGTTCATAGCGCAGGTACTTGTAGCGCAAAATTAAACAAAAAAATTTTTTTCATGTATAAAACCTTTTATCTCGTATTCTAGAAGGTTAAAAAAACGATTTTTTGAGAATTCTACAGTGGTGTAACCCCATAAATAAAACTATTTACAGCGATGATGAAAATTAGAACAGACACCATTATATTTATTTTTTGTTGAAATTACGCTTTTAACTTAACATTAAGAATGATTTAATTCATCGTAATCTTTGATAAGGAGATATTAAATAATTAAATATTTTAGTTTCTATGAAATTATCTTATTTGCGTGGTCACGTGTTTATTTAAAATGGTGGTAACGTTTTGGTTGATAGAAATCTGTGTTCATTATATATTTAAAAAAATTAGAACTGGCCAGGATAAAAGTGTTGATGTAATTGGACAAAATACGGAAGTAGGTATCTGTTTTTCGAATGACTGGAAAGTTATGTGCACTGAAATAATTTTTATTAACTTTCAAGTCTTGGGATTTTAATAAAAAAATATTTTCGGATAATTTGTTTTTTTAATTTCTGTATTGATATTTATCTAATTTCAACTGTCTATTATAATTTCTAACAATATAAATGTTCCCCACATGATTTGTTACCTCTGACGGTGTTATACTGTTTCCTGTTAGGATTGGTGGAAGGTGGAGATCCACGATCGCCAAGGATTCGTCCCAGCGGCTTACGTCAAGAAAGTCGACGCTGGCCTGACAGCTTCCCAACAGAACCTAATAGACAACAATTCCATCTCCGCTCGTCAGAACCAGATCAATCAGCAGTATGATCGCCTCCTCGCCCTGGCCAACGAACGCAGAAACAAACTCGACGAAACCGTCAAAGCTTACGTGCTCGTTCGCGAAGCCGCCGAATTAGCGGGATGGATAAAAGACAAGGAAATGCACGCTCAAGTCCAGGACGTCGGTGAAGATTTAGAACAAGTGGAGGTACTTCAGAAGAAATTCGACGATTTCCAGACAGACCTGAAGGCCAACGAAGTGCGTCTGGCGGAAATGAACGAAATTGCGATGCAGCTGGTATCGCTCGGTCAAACCGAGGCGGCGTTGAAGATTCAAACGCAAATGGAAGACTTGAACACCAAATGGACGAGTTTGCAACAACTTACGTCTGAGCGGGCGAGCCAGTTGGGCTCCGCTCACGAAGTGCAGAGGTTCCACAGAGACGTGGACGAGACCAAGGATTGGATCAACGAAAAGGACGAGGCGCTTAACAACGACGATCTGGGCAAAGATCTACGAAGCGTCCAGGCACTTCAGAGGAAGCACGAGGGACTCGAAAGGGACCTCGCCGCTCTCGGAGATAAGATTAAACAATTGGACGAAATCGCAAACCGTCTAGTGACCACCTACCCCGAAACCGCGGAGCAAACTCTGACAAAGCAACAAGAAATCAACGAGCTCTGGACCCAACTCACCGCCAAGGCTAATAGCCGTAAAGAAAAACTTTTGGATTCGTACGATCTGCAAAGATTCCTCAACGACCATCGTGACTTGTTGGCCTGGATTAATTCCATGCTCGGATTGGTCAGTTCCGAAGAATTGGCGAGTGACGTCACCGGCGCAGAGGCTTTAATCGAACGCCACCAGGTAAGTCAAAAGTTTAGAATTTTTTATTTGCATAAACGTAAATGTTTTGTTTGTTAGGGTTTTGAGCCACAGTTAAATTTGAGTAGTTCAAATGTACCGTGGTAGTTCAAATGTACTACTCATTTTTAATGTGCGTGTAACATTTTATTATGTCAGCGTTCAGTATATTCGTAAATTCAGGAACCGAGCATGATATTTCAAGTCATGTTACTGTTTGGTATTTTGGTGATGTAAATTTTTGTTGCATCTTGGACATGTGCAAATGGTTTTATATGTATTTACTCAATTTCTAGAACTACAAGGCAGAAATAGAGGCAATGTATGGAATACCTCAGGTAGTTAGTTGCGCCTAGAGTGTCAGTTTCATAACTTTACTAACAGTCCGTTCATGTTTGTATTTTCACAAGTAACACCTAATTGTATGTGTTCTTAATGATTTCTCGGGTGTCTAGGAACTGGATAACAATGGCGTAAAACTGGATAACAATGACGTAAAACTTGATAACCGGGACGTGAAACTGGATAACCAGGACGTGAAAATGGATAACCGCTATGTAATACTGGATAACAGTGACGTAAAACTGGATAACAGTGACAATACTGGATAACTATGACATAAAACTAGATAACTATGACGTAAAACTGGATAACAACGACGTAAACTGGATAACAGTGACGTAAAACAGGGTAACTGTGTCGTAAAATTGGATAACAGTGACATAATACTGGATAACCATGACGTGAAACTGGATAACAGCGAAGTAAAACTGGACAACAATGACGTAAAAAGACAGACATAAACTATGGCGATGTTTTGCGAAAAAGCGACTGCTGTTTTTTTTGCTGGTCTACACTATTTGCTGCGGTGCACTGGTGTATAAGAATTAATATACTCTGCTTTACATATCCACAGTGGCTTTAGACACAGTCTGCTTCTTTTATTTCCTCTGTTAATACTCTTTTTTTTTGTAATTTTTTCACTAAACTTCTTATTAAAACGACTGAATTGAAGAAATGTCATTTTGTTGCTTTATTAATTTCGAATTAAATTTCTCTTACTGCATTGTGTCTGAATACGTTGTGATCAATATGTATACATCGTGTAAGCTACAAATTAACACAGGGTGATTAAAAAATTAAAAAACTAAGTTGAATTTTTTTTTTATTAAAAAAATGTGAATACTTTACTTAACATACTTTTTTAAGGGCAGCTTTTGAATCCCATTGGATTTGTAGCAATTTTTTTTTAATTACCTTGTATGTTATCATATTTTTGGTCTACGTTCATGGCGACCACTGGTACACGTTCCATTCTTCTCACTTTTTATTCTGGGGGTGTACAAATTTCATATGGACGTCTTAACAGCGGTTTCTTTTTTCAAACTAGGAACATCGTACTGAAATCGATGCCCGAGCCGGCACGTTCCACGCCTTGGAACAATTCGGCCAGCAACTTCTGAACTCCAACCACTACGCCAGTCCCGAGATCCAAGAGAAGTTAGAACAGTTGAACGCCGCGCGTGACGACTTGGAACGCGCCTGGATCGACCGACGCCTACAACTAGATCAAAATCTCGAGCTTAACCTCTTCTACAGGGACTGCGAACAAGCCGAGAACTGGATGTCCGACCGCGAGGCATTCCTTGCCTCGGACGTCGTAGATTCCAACGGGGACAACGTCGAAGCACTGATAAAGAAACACGAAGATTTCGACAAGGCCATCAATGCCCATGAAGAGAAGATAGCTACATTGCAGACCCTGGCCGATCAGCTTATCGGAAGGGAGCATTACGCTTCCAAGGCGATAGACGACAAACGTAACCAGGTGTTGGACAGATGGCGTCACTTGAAGGACGCTCTGATCGAGAAACGTTCCAAGTTAGGCGAAAGCCAGACGTTGCAACAGTTCTCCCGCGATGCCGATGAAATCGAGAATTGGATCGCTGAAAAACTCCAACTCGCTACGGAAGAGAGTTACAAAGACCCAGCGAATATCCAGTCTAAGCACCAGAAACATCAAGCGTTCGAAGCTGAGCTAGCCGCCAACGCGGATAGAATTCAAACCGTTTTGGCTAACGGTGCGAATCTTATAGACAAACGTCAGTGCGCCGGTTCCGAGGAAGCGGTACAGAGGAGATTGGAATCCATCGCCGACCAATGGGAGTTCCTTACGCAGAAAACCACCGAAAAATCCTTGAAATTGAAGGAAGCCAACAAACAACGCACGTATATCGCCGCCGTGAAGGATCTTGACTTCTGGTTGGGCGAAGTCGAAAGTTTGTTGACCAGCGAGGATGCCGGCAAAGACCTCGCGTCGGTCCAGAACCTCATGAAGAAACATCAACTCGTCGAAGCCGACATCCAACACCACGAGGATAGGATTAAGGATATGAACGACCAAGCCGACTCGCTAATCGAGAGCGGGCAATTCGACACCGCGTCTATTCAAGAGAAACGTCAGTCTATCAACGAACGCTACGAACGTATCAAGAACCTCGCCGCACACCGCCAGGCTCGTCTCAATGAGGCGAATACTTTGCACCAGTTCTTCAGGGATATCGCTGACGAGGAGTCCTGGATAAAGTAAGTTCTCCCTTCATTAAAAGTGCCATATTTTTTCAATGTTTTCTTTTTTTTAGGGAAAAGAAACTGTTAGTGGGATCCGACGATTACGGCCGAGATCTTACGGGAGTGCAGAACCTGAAGAAGAAGCACAAACGTCTCGAAGCCGAGTTGGGTTCCCACGAGCCTGCCATCCAAGCCGTACAGGAAGCCGGAGAGAAACTCATGGACGTTTCCAACCTGGGCGTCCCGGAGATCGAGCAACGCCTCAAAGCCCTGAACCAAGCCTGGGCCGAACTGAAACAACTAGCGGCCACTCGCGGTCAGAAACTGGACGAATCGTTAACCTACCAGCAGTTCCTCGCCAAGGTAGAAGAGGAAGAGGCGTGGATCAGCGAGAAACAGCAGTTATTGAGCGTGGAAGATTACGGCGACACGATGGCCGCCGTGCAAGGCTTATTGAAGAAACACGACGCCTTCGAGACGGACTTCCAGGCTCACCGGGACCGTTGCAAGAATATCTGCGATGACGGCATGAAGTTGGTGTCGGACGGAAATCATCACTCCGACAGTATCAACCAACGTTGCCAACAGCTCCAGACGAAGTTGGATCATCTCGCGGCCCTCGCAGGCAGGCGAAAGGCTAAGCTCGTCGACAATTCCGCCTACTTGCAGTTCATGTGGAAGGCCGATGTTGTCGAGAGCTGGATCGCCGACAAGGAGACTCACGTGAAAAGCGAGGAGTTTGGGAGGGATTTGTCTTCGGTGCAAACCTTGCTTACCAAACAAGAGACGTTTGACGCCGGTAAGTCTTGCTTTTTTTTACCTCGGTAGAAAATTATAAAACGTCGGGAAATTTTGTAACGGTCAGGAAATACGGGGAAAAAAATAAGAGAAATGGAAAAATTTTCTAAAATATATGTGTTTAATACAAAGTTGATAAAAAATTACAAATTTGAAAAGAAATTGTCTGTCTCGTACTCTGTTGTCATATCACATCAGGTGCATTGTTATTACTTAGTTCAGAGGTCATTGACACCGAGATTCACAGACTAAACCCAGTGCTTTAAAAAAATTGTAACAAAAACCTGAAATAATTTTAAAAAAATAGTTAATATCGGAAATTCGTTAAATCCTGACGATTCTGACGATTTTTTTCATGTAGGTCTCACCGCTTTCGAGCACGAAGGTATCCAGAACATCACCGCACTTAAAGATCAGCTGATCGCTTCCAACCACGACCAGACCCCTGCCATTCTCCAGCGACACGCAGACGTTATCGCAAGGTAATGCTTGCTACAAACCGCCGTACTTGCACATCTTAAATCTTCCGTTTTTTTTAGGTGGCAGAAACTATTGAACGACTCCGACGCCAGAAAGCAACGCCTTCTCCGCATGCAAGACCAATTCAAGCAGATCGAGGAGCTCTTCCTCATGTTCGCCAAGCGAGCCTCCGCTTTCAACTCCTGGTTTGAGAACGCCGAGGAGGACCTGACGGATCCGGTACGGTGCAACTCCATCGAGGAGATCCGCGCCCTTAAAGACGCCCACGCTCAGTTCCAAGCTTCGCTTTCCAGCGCCCAGGCCGATTTCGACGCTCTGGCCGCTTTGGATCAGCAGATCAAGAGCTTCAACGTCGGCCCTAACCCCTACACCTGGTTCAACATGGAGGCTCTGGAGGAGACCTGGCGTAACCTGCAGAAGATCATAGCCGAGAGGGACGTCGAGCTGAACAAGGAGGCGCAGCGGCAGGAAGAGAACGACAAGCTGAGGAAGGAGTTTGCCAAGCACGCCAACGCATTCCACCAGTGGTTGACGGAAACTCGGTAAGTTCTATTGTTATGTTATTATACGATTTCCGAGGTAAAGGCGTTCGTCAAGGGTATACCGAGAACAGTGGCAGATATAAAATTGTTCAAATTTGAGAAAAATTGAGTGAACATTTAAAAAAAAAATACCGTTTAGTTTTTGTTTTCGCGCGTCAACGGATGTATAATTCTTCTACATTCTACACTTGTGCTGATCTAATTACGTTTCAGACACATTTCAGCCATCATCGGACTTTTTTTTCAAATAAATTTTAAATAAAATTTAATTTTACGATTTTTTAGCATGCAAAATAGAAATTAAATCAAAATAAAAAAAAATAGTTCAAATAACTTAGAGTTGGGCGTTAGAAAGTTTAATTTCTTTTTTTTTTTAATAATGGGCTGTTACTTGAACATATTTCAAAAAAATTCTGATTCTGTGTTTAATTTTTGTCTTATCGATGCCCATTTAATTTTTCTGCGTTACGAATGTATTATTTGTGACGATTTAATGACATTTTGGATAAATTTAAGCCATCATCGAGTTTTTCTTAAATAAATCTTAAAGAGGGCTCTATAGGTAACAGGCAACCAGCAATACATTTTTATAGATTTTATTACACAGTTTGTCTAAATATGAATTAATGCACAAATAACAGACTTTCCCCCATTTTAATACAGATTTTCTATAAAATGGACTTAGTTTGAAACTGGAATTACTTTTTGTTGTGAAGGAATTTGTAATTTGAATCGTAAATTACAATTTTCTTTACACCAAAAAGTAATTTGAGTTTCAAACTAAGTGGATTTTATAGAAAATCTGCGTTAGAAAGGGGGAAAGTCCGCTATTTGTGCATTGATTCATATTTAGAAGAACGGTGTAATAAAATCTAGAAAAATGTATTACTGGTTGCCTATTTGCTGTAGTTCAAACATTGAATTTCATGTTGATATAAAATAAAATTTAAAAAATGCAATCAATTAAATACCTGCAATAAATTAAATAAAAAGCCAAGAAAAAATCAAATTGAGTTTTCTCTGGACTGGGAAATTAAAAAAAATTCTCTCAACGTTTCGTTTTTCTCTTACCATCAACAGGTTCTATAATTTTTCAGCATTCACGAATATATCACTGGTTGCAATTTAATTACATTTTAATAACGTTTCGGACAGATTTCAGCGATCATCGGGAGTTTCTTTTAATAAATTTTCAAATAAATTTGTTTAAAATCCCATTTACGATGTGTTATAAAAAAAATTGTATTAAATATTTCCTATTATTTTCAGTTACCGCATCTTGGGCTGGGATGGGTAAATAAACTTGTGCTTAACGGTTTTTTTTTCTGTTCGCACTAACAAAACCTTTTAAATTTTTTATCTAAACCAATTAATATCGTCGTTTTATAGATATTTTGTCGCTCGCCTAACAGATAACAATAACGATTAATTACAGACCACCTTCCAACCTTACCGCAAGGGCCCGCCCGAAAATCGTACACTTAAGTGGTAGGGAAGGAAGCATATCGCCAGTTCCCGATCAAAACTTTTTTATCGGCTTTCGATTTTAAACTGTTATTGAAGGAGTTTGACGATAACAATTTTTCAGTACTTCCATGATGGAGGGGTCCGGTTCCCTCGAACAACAACTGGAGGCGACCAAACGCAAGGCAGGTGAAGTCCGCGCGCGCAGGTCCGACCTGAAGAAGATAGAGGACCTGGGGGCTATCCTCGAGGAACACCTCATTTTGGACAATCGTTACACAGAGCATTCCACCGTCGGTCTGGCCCAGCAGTGGGATCAGCTCGATCAGCTGGGAATGAGAATGCAGCATAACCTCGAACAGCAGATACAGGCCAGAAATCAATCGGGTAAGATCGTAATTGGATTGTAGTTTTACTATATTTCATCGCGATTGGTTCTTTTTTGCCACAGGTGTTAGCGAGGACGCTCTTAAGGAGTTCTCCATGATGTTCAAGCACTTCGACAAGGAGAAGTCCGGAAAACTGAACCACCAGGAGTTCAAGAGTTGCCTGAGGGCCCTCGGCTACGACTTACCGATGGTGGAGGAGGGGCAGCCAGATCCCGAGTTTGATGCGATATTAGGTTAGTAGTGTCACCATCGAAGTAATCGTTTTAGTACAGAATTTGTTTTTTTTTCAGATATCGTTGATCCGAACAGAGACGGGCACGTTTCCTTGCAGGAGTACATGGCCTTTATGATCAGCAAAGAAACGGAAAACGTGCAAAGCTCCGAGGAAATCGAGAAGGCGTTCAGGGCTATCACCGCGGGCGACCGTCCTTACGTCACCAAGGAAGAGCTGTATGCGGTAAGTTTTTGTTTCCGTCATGTTTCCGTTCGCAACTGACGGTTTTTCTTGCAGAACTTGACGAAGGAGATGGCGGATTACTGCGTGGTGAGGATGAAGCCATACGTGGAACCGAAAACCGAGCGACCCATAGCGGGGGCCCTCGATTACATAGAATTCACACGTACACTTTTCCAGAATTGATTCGCTTAGGTTAGGGGCTTTTAAGAATTGAAAACAATATTAAACGGTATGCAATACTATGTAAGAGAAATCCATATTTATCTTAAATATATATTTATATTTATTGAATATTATTAAGTCTAAATGTTTTACGACACAGCTGCTAATTTTAGTTCTAGTTCGGGGCTCGCATCGTAACGGCAAGAGGTGTTTTATTTTTTTATTTGCTATTGCGAATAATTTTAAAATGAAAAAATTATATTCTGCAATTTTAATTGTTCACTGCCCTTCTATTTCATTCTTATGGACCTTGTAACCTGTGTTTAGTATTAGATTTTTGTAACTGTTTAAAATAAATAGCTTTTGCTTTGACATTACGCGTTTTTTATTTATTTTTTGTCGTCGTTTTACGCACAACTTTGTAAAAGTAGTGATGATTTGAGTTTTAAACAATTTCTGAATAATTTCATTATTTGAAATGGCCAATGTTTACAACGGTGATGAATTTGGTACATTGGTATACAAGAATTGTTTGCAAAATGCTGCCATAGCATCGCAATTGACAGTGACGGTTCGTAAAAATTAGAGATAGGCATGGAAAAGTGTGTTACGGACAAGTTGGGAAAAGGACTTTTGACCTTGAATTTAATAAGGCACACTGCTTGTACACAAAAAAAAAATATTACTTTTATTCTAATGAATATGTCGAAGTATTTTACTTATTACCTACCTTTAGACTTTTTTATAAATTGATTTCTAATTTTCCCCGGACAGCCAATATACTTATTTAAATGTTTTTCCATCCTACTGGAATTCTTAAAAATTGTTTTTGAGCAAAGTTACATTTATGATTTTTACTCAATTCAGAAAAATATAACCAAACTGATGATTTTGGCGTCATACTTCATTTATAAACTATTTGTGCATTAAATATTAAATAAAGAATCAACTGATTACTATTTACTAATCGTTAACTTTGCCAAAAATAATTAAATGTGGACATATAAAAAAGGTTATATTTTTAAAATGTCAGTTTCAGTTAAACAATTACCAACCCAAGAAAATGGCTGAATATCTTTAATTTTACATGTACCAACCTCAAAACTTTTTTGCGGGAATTACGAATACAACAAACAATTCCGCGCATGCGCGTAAAGCTTGTCAATCTTGAAAAGTGCTCTCAGGACATGTCCATTTTTCACGACATGTCCAGTTGCCATGTCCGCGGCACATCTCTAGTAAAAATTAAACCTATCCCATGGAGTCTGACACATAATTAGTGTACATTATTACATACCATAGTTTTCACATTTTCGTACCAACCTTAATATACTATGAGTAATTCCTTGAATTTTATTTGTGGGGCACGTTAAGTTATACATGTCATTGATATCTCGTAAAAAAAGCACATATACGAATAAAAAAACACAATGACGTTCAGTTCCAATGAATTTAATTAAGTAACCTTTATTACCCTTGACCTTGATGAGATTATTAACGGACCTTGTTTATTACCTACATACATAATTTATTGTTATTACCTTTAGGACACGTTCACTTGACGCCGAAAACGGAACGGAATCATTGTACGTAGAGTTTAACTACTGCCAATCAAATAGTGAGAAATGTCTTCGTTGCGTCTTAGACCCCAGTCAATTCTGTGTCTTACAGGCGTACCCTTAGCTCTAAATGTCACACACACATTTCAGGTTGCCTATCGCACAAAAACAACAAAAGTTCCCCACCAATCAGACAATTGTTGCAACAACATACGAATAAATAATTTCATCGGAACCTCCAACAAAATTTCAAGTTGTTTATCACCAAATAGTGCTTACTAAATCAGAAAATATGTTGGGAACAAAGTGTAAAACCACCGATTAAACAGATTTTAATTACAAGGAATGACGTGCAAAGGTTAGTAAGCAACACGAACATATTTAGAGCAATTATGTCATTAAATGAGGAACATAATGGGCAAAACGAAAAAAAGATCAGATTCCGAGCTCCAGCCAGGGTTGTTTTCAACTCTGACACCAAAATTGAAGACTTGTTAAGGAATGAAAAAAGTGAAATGTCACCCGATGAGACAGATTCGGCTAAAAGAGGTTAGAAAATTGTTTATCGACAAAGGTTAAACATTATCGTATTGATGTGCTTTTTTAGAAAAATTTCCGAGCTTGGTGACGTTTTTAAATGTAGAGCTAACGAGGGATTATGTGTTGGAACATGACGAGGAAAGGTATTCAGCGAGGCGAGAGAAAATTTACTCGTTTATGAAAATACCCAAGGAAGTCGAAAGATTCATGAGGTATGGCTTCATGCAGTGTACAGACTCATTTTTGTTCGTGTACACGTTTTTGCCTATTCGGGTGATGCTAGCATTGTGGGCTTTGATCACTAGGCCTTTTTCAAAATGTTTCGGGTAAGTCTAAGAAATCGTTAATCGTTACATTACATTTGTTTTTCACTTTTAGATTAGGTGATAAGAAAAACAAACGTATTTTAACCCCTGCAGAAATATGTGATCTGTTGAAGGCTGTAATTCTATTAATATGTAGTACAATAATGGTGTATGTCGATACGAATATGTTGTATCACCTCATCAAAAGCCAATCTGTTATAAAATTGTATATATTTTACAATATGTTAGAAATCGGTGATAGGTTATTTTCCGCCTTCGGCCAAGACACCATCGACGCTCTGTTTTGGACCGCGACGGAGCCGAGGGGGAGGAAAAGGGAGCACTTGGGGACGATTCCGCACCTGTTGTTCGCCATAGTGTATGTCAGTATCCTTTGAACGCTTACAAGTATAACTCGGAGTTTTTAAGTGCAATGAATTCATAAACTTTGCACCAAAGTCAATGCACATTAGTCAGCAGAGTAGTTGTTCCATGTCATTAATTTGATAATTTTCTTAACACAATTCTAGTACTTCATAGTGTTTTAGTACTATTTCAAGCTACGACGTTGAATGTGGCCATAAATTCAAGTAACAAGTCATTAATGACAATCATGATGTCTAACAATGTAAGTATTATAGTTTGAAAGTTCATTAAGTGATATATATTTTTTTATAATATATTTAATTGCTTGGGTAAATGTATGAATAATAACATTTTATGTGTGTACAATGTGACTAAGAATTACAAATATGTAGATAGGAGATAAAACAAAGAAAAACAAGTATGTGAGTTTATCAGTGGAATTTGTACAAAGATAATGTAATAATATGACGGTAACAAGAAAACTGGGCTAAACAATGAAAATTGTCTCTCAATATTTTCAGGGCAAATAATATTTTCCATAAATAGATAAGGGTACCTTTTTTATAAACTTTTTTCCGAAAATAATGCTTTATTTAAAAAAATTTGTAGAAAAACCATAATTCTTTTTAGTCGCTTTACATCTTTTAAAAACCTGGAAAATTTACTTCTACATTCAATCAGGGCTTGCCTCGTATTATAAATCGATTATCTTTTATAGTTCGTCGAACTAAAAGGCAGCGTCTTCAAGAAATTCGACAAAAACAACCTCTTCCAAGTCTCCTGCAGCGATGTGAGAGAGAGGTTCCACTTGTTCATACTCCTCTTCATCGTTATACTGCAAACGATGCGCGAATACAGCTGGAAGAGCGACCGTTTCTGGGTCCTACTCCCCGACTGCCTCACGGTGCTCCTGGCGGAGATGTTCGTCGACTGGATCAAACACGCGTTCATAACGAGATTCAACGAGCTGAATCTCGACGTCTACAGAGATTACACCACCAGTTTGGCCTACGACATGGCTCAGACGAGGCAGAAACACGCCTTCTCCGACCATTCGGATCTGGTGGCGAGGCGGATGGGTTTCATACCGCTCCCGCTCGGAGTCGTCATGATCAGGGTGCTCATTCATTCCGTTTCGATCGACGATTTCTCCTCGTTTATAGTTTTCTGCGTGGCGTACCTCAGCTTGGGCTCGTTCAAGATACTGAACAGTCTCTTGATCCTGGGGAAGGCTTGCGACTTGATAACGCAGCACAAGCAGGAGAAGGCTTCCTTGAGCTCTCCTAGTAACAATCGTTCGAATAGTCCCCTTCCTACCAATTTGAAAAGCAAAACGGACACGGCGACTAGCCCGTTACATCCGGTAGTGGATCAGCCGGTGGGTAGGTTGGGGTTGTCGATAAACACCTTTCCCCCGTTGGACGTAAAATCTGAGGAAATAACGGAGTCGAACAAGGCACCGCTCGGTGACCTAGGCGCAGCCGCTATATTTGCTAACAGCAACGTTGACTTGAAGAACGCTAGTTTGAACGAGGAACTGTTGAAAATAGACGGGGACGATATCAGGATAGAGTCGGTGAGCGAGGGGGAAGCAGTGACAAGGAGTTTTCCCGATATAAAAAGCGAGTTTTTGGACGAAGACAAGAAGTGCGAGACCGTGGAGGAGAGTTTGAAGAGATCGGAATCCGAGCCTAATTTGAATAAAACGGAATGCGAGAACACACCAAAGTAATTAATTTTTTTTTGGCGGTTTTTAGGGTCTAAAACGTTACATGATTACCACTTTGTATATATATTATTCGGTATTAATAATTTTAGTGATTTTATTGCATTTGTTTGATTTTTTGCATATAAAATTGTTGTTTCTTTTCAGTGGAAAGGCTAAGATCACTGTATCGACTTCTCTGAAAGAGAAAACCGTCGTTACGCCTAATATTCACTTCGTTTGTCTTTCTAGGATATTTAATACATCGCTTTCATAAATGATTACGAGCCACATCACCAGTAATTTTATTTCCTTCACATTGCCAATTAAATTAAAAATTATTGAGCTAATAAGATCAAAATGACATTAAAACACAACATTCGGTTTCATCGGCTTTTAATTGGTGTCGTTTTTCATAAAATTTTATTCAACCAATCAGCGATCGCATTATCTCAAGCGTAGACGTAATGGTTTGTCATCGTTCATTGTAAACGAATTGTTACATTGCTGACACTAAGATCTAGGGATTTTTGGTTCACAGTACCAACCGCGCAACGTTGGTTGCCTAAGCTCAGCGGTTACGAGGCTTGTAATCATTTACGAACGCTTCTTAGTAATTAGAATCATTCTTATGCTATCGATGGGAATCTACTGGGTATCGGGAATGCATTCTCGGTCGTTAAAAAGTTTTAGATTTAGTATGCGGGGAAAAATAATTTTATTCGTAAATCTTACTTTTCGTTAAATCATTTCTCTTTTTCTGATTTTTCGTCTTTTTAATTTAATTTAATTCTTTATATCATTATTTATCAGAATTTTGCTTCGAAAGCTAAGGAATGATATAAAAACTGTAATTTACCGGATAAAAGTAAAAATGTTTTTGATTTATTTGCACTTTTGCACCCGGTACCCACTGGGTATATCTTCATCCTATACTATTAACTCCAATAATAAAGGATGGAAATTTTCTCAGTACGTACTGGATGCAAAGTGCATATAAACCAAAAATTTTATAAGTCTGAGCTCATCTGCTTTACAGGGTGTTCAAAAAGTCAATGTCGAGCCTGTAAATGAAAACAACTAAATTTGACCTTAGTAAAAGTCTCTTAGTTTTCGAAATATTGACACATTTCAAAGAGTGACCGCAAAATCCGTCTGTTTTTGAGACTTTGACAGAGGCGACAGGAAAAATCCTAAAAATATTCTAAAAATATCCAAAAACTCGTCATTAAAAATGAAAATGAGCATCACTTTCAGTTTTTCGAAAATCACCCTTATTTATGGGTTGACAAGACAAAAATGTGACATGTTATTATCAAAATAATATGAACGTGAAAATATCTAATTTCATATTTGATACGGTCTTGTCCGGATTAAAAATCCCTTACCCTTACCCTTAATCATCCCCTAAACGTCTAAAAATACAAAAAATATATTAAAAGTTACAGTTTTTTTTCTTTTTCTTTTATACACAATAATTGAGCCGTTAATAACCCACATCATTAGATCCAAAAGAAAATACGCCTCAATGAGGGTCAAACCACTCCTAAGTTCAACCATATACGTATAAAAGAAAAAGAAAAAAAATTTAACAATATATTTTTTGCATTTTTAGGCGTTTAGGGGATGATTTCATCCCTTCAGGGATATTATGGGTTGATTTTCAATTTGGACAAGACCGTATCAAATACGAAATTAGATATTTTCACGTTCATAATATTATTTTAATAACAACATAGAAATATTTGGGGTTTTACAAGTGTTGATGATTCTTAATTTGTTCACTTTTTTTGTCTTTTCTACCCCTAAATAAGGGCGATTTTCGAAAATTTTTGAAAAACAAAGTGTTGCTCATTTTCATTTTTATGACGTACTCGTCAAAAATTTTCCCTGTCGCCTCTGTCAAAGTCTCAAAAACTGGTGGAAAAATGGCTTTTTTTGCGGTCACTCTTTGGGCGTCACAGCTACAAAACTAAGATATTTTGTTATTCTATTGTTGTCATATTGTTGTCATATGTCATATTGTTGTCATATGTTGCAGAGAGAAATTGTTCCAGATGCAATTGAAACGTTTTTTTGTCACAAAAAATGTTTCACAAATTGAAAAGTTTTACATGTTTATCACCCTACTTTTGCTGTTAGTATTTTATGTACTTCAAACTGCCTTTTTCCTTAAAAAAATTAGCATTTAGTACAGATTTGAAAATAACATTACCATTTTTCACTTAAAAAACAAAATTGCTATTCCAAAAAAACAAAAACGTTTAACTTTATATTGAAAATGTTTTACAATGCTTACAATCAAATTCCCGTGATGATCCTATCAAGAACCCTAAAAACCAGTAATAAATTGTTTTTTGTGGAAACTTTTTGAATTGTGTTTGACAACAAGATTCCTCTGCAATATTTAACAAAAAACGGGACCATAAAATATCTAATTTTGTTGTTGTAGCACCCGAAACGTTGACCTAAGGTGTTGGTTTCAAAAAGTTTCAAAAAACTTTTTACCAAGGTCGGAATATAATTATTCAGGTTAGTCATGGGTGTGACATGGGACATCTTATGTTTCCGACATTGAAAAATGTTTTTGAATGTTGCAAAAAGGAAATTATAAAATTATAAAACAAATTTTTTTTACTTAAACTTTCTCGCTTGATGCCTAAAAAGTGGAAGATTATGTTTTTGAAACTATTTTTTCTTTGAGTTATACGTCCATTATGAAATAGATTGTTGTTTAATTAAGTTTATTGATTGTTGGTCCAGTTACGTAATAACTAGTGAATCTATGAATTGATATAGTTGATTCCATGGCTTATTTTGTTTAAAATAAACTAGTCCTTTCATAAAGCTGTTGGTTCTTGTCATTTATTTATTTTTTATTTACTCTAACAGTAAAGTAGTTGAAATTGTATATTTTTATATTTTTATTAAATGATATAGAAATAAAGATACGATTTTTTATATTATATATAGTCTCTTTATTTACGTTACAGGGAAAAGCTATTGCTTTAGTGTAAAGTAAAATTTAACAAACATCTAAACATTTTTTAAAATACATGTTTACACTGTCAGATTTCAATTGCACTTCCATAGTCTTATCGATGAATCTTTAACATGCCCTTGTTGTTCTCGGCCTAGGCTCTGTGGGGGTCGATCCATTATCGGAACTGGCTTGCACTGTTGTTCATTTCAGTTCTTGTTGTTTCTAAGGCTGCTATGGAGGCTACTCAGTCTCGACTAAGCTTTTGCAGTCACTATGCCGATGCTGATAGTGAAGAACAGTGAAATGTTTGGAAGCATTAGATGCGACCGGTTACAAGACCACTGCAATATCTCTCCCTAATGGCTTTAGAACCTAAATGAACATTAGGACAGGCCTAGGTGTTCTGATAGCAGGTGCGCCCCCTCAGAGCCTAGCCCAAGAAGAATAAAGGCAAGTCAAACAAACATAAGACTAAGTGCAAATCTGTTCTAAGAATTTTATTTTTTCCAGTACCATTTGACGAAATGGGTAGTTTACATACACGGATATTTTGTTTTAAAGGACTTTACAAACATTTTTTAATTTTGAGTAAATACAAAGCTTTAAACTATAGACACAAATAGTGTTGAACGAGCTTATGCAATTTCCTTTCAGATCAACGTATTAATGGTTGCCTAACCATGGACGAAGAATTATAAATTAACTTCCATCTAAAAATGCATGGAGACTACACACTCCCTGTAAAAATGCTTGAGATTGAAGGTATGTTTTGTCATTTATTTCGTTTTTCACGTAATTTAGGAAAGTTTGTTTCGTCGACCTTTATTTAACTTTATGTTTTACAACATAACACACAATAAAACAATGAAGACATTTTTACTGCTGAAGGAAATCTTTGAACAAGTGGCGTCGTTGCAATAGAACTTCGATTATAACAAAAAGTTACCACCCAACCCATGTACTGATTCTTTGTAACCGTTTTCGAAAAACAATTCATCATAGAGAGAGGTCAATCAACTCTCAACCATTTTTAGATGGACCATACTGACTATAGCATGACAGTAAAAATATACTTATTGCACTAAGGAATTTAGTTTTTTTGTCTTATATAGGTATATTTCAAACTTGATTTACCATCGTAATAAAGCAATAAAACTAAACTTTCAATTGCTTTTTAATTTCTTTTACCTCCGCCGCTTATATTTTTTAATTAATTTTGAGTGTCTGTATAGGTATCTCGAAAATAAAACGTGTTCCTGGACGTATCTGTTAAAACTTTTTCCATTAATTTAAAATCAATATCCACCAAAATTCAAAATAGAAAGCATAATTCTTTGCACGTTTAAATAATAGCCATCCATCTTTTACATTTCTAAAATTAACCAATCGTAGTGTCACATTTCAAACCAAACCAAACTCACGCAATGGCAGCTAAAAGAAGACATTAAAAACAAAACGTATGCTGCCCAGGCATACATCAGAAACGAATGCTCCTTTTTTTTTGCAACAATGCACTGTGATTCTTCCTATATTTTAATCTATGATTCTTTTGTTTTGCTTGTTTTTCGAACTGAAGTGTGGTGAGTGAAAATGCAGTGAAAATTATTCGTTTTCAATACGCTTGTATTGGATCAAATACGTTTTTACTGATTAAATTTCATAGAACAAACTCGGGAAATCCGAAATCGAGTCCTCTATTCACGGTATTTGCCATTAAAGTTTTGGTTTTTGAGCTAGCGTCGAAGCTTCGTATCCGCGTTCGTTGATCTCGGTGTGTGGGACGATTTGAATTTTCCGGAAATTCAAATTGTCGACCATTACATTATAGCATTTCTTTCTGGTGTTATATCTGTAGTGATATTCGGTGACAATTTTTGTGTATTTCTCGACACATTTCCGTCTTTATCCAGAGACAAATTTATTGTGGGCACCTGTAAATAATGGATTTCTAGGAACAGCCTACTTTTTAGACTTTTTACAAACAATGTGATCGAGTCCACAAATCTTTGTGATCGGGACGCAGGAGCTGTTGGAATGTCGTGGAGTGGATTATCAATTGTAAGTACCAACAATAACATTCATCTATAAATGTACATTTGCATTTGTGTATTATGACTCTTACGAATGCATTACCATTA